ACTCATGAAAATCATCAGTGAGGATGAAGAAATCTACAGAGCATGTTTGTAGTATGAAGGGAAGCAATATATACTGATAAATTTACACCAATCAAGTTTAATCAATGCGTGTTCATCAGATGCTGGCTGGTTGGTTTCAACATAGAACTTTGCACCGATGTGCAGCAGTTCGAGTTGCCACACTTCACTCAGCACTCAAAAGCAGAGAAGAAGAAAGTAAAAGTAAATGCAAAATAGAGACAGTAGACAGGGATATGAGACAAAAGGAATAGTAATATCGAAGAACAATATAGTTGCATTAAGTATCATAAGTCACAAGGAGTAGATACACCTGCGCCATTGAGAATGTTTCTAAGCCATATCACCAACTGTCTCCAACCATTGGGGTTCACCGTCCCAAGGACCCCAACCACACAGCTGTCTACACCTTGCTACGTGACTGGCTTAAACTAACTGTTGTGGATTTCATTGACTGATAAAACTATGTTTTTGGTTTGACCAACACTGGCTCTTTATCAACCTGATCAGTCCTATGTCAGTTAACAATGCCTGTTTTCGAGGAAGGTGATGGCTAGGGATGCATACGTAACACATGTGCTAACCATCTCAATCAATGTAACACCTTCACAGCCTCGTCAATTAATTTCCCCCCAAACCTACCTAGCACTCGACCGAAGCCTAACCTCAATATTGCTCACCCTATTATACCACTTCACACGGGAGATAGAATGCAGACACCTATGATCAAAGGCGGCTAGCTAGGCTTTTCATGTCTTCCACTCTCATTATACCAAGTTCAGTTCTGGTCTTGATGAATATAGAATTATAGAAGAGCAATGCTAATCAGCTTCCAAAGCAGAATTTCATGAAAAGCTGCCTCCGATCAATACTAAACATCAGATGACCAGCTAAAAGGGATAAGCGATAAGGAAGTCTGACAACGAACCAACTAACCCCCCCCCCCTAGGCAATAGCCTAACACATACACACCGTAGGAAATGGAAATGGATTGGACATACACCAAGAAAACTTATAAGTGATGCTACACAACAGGCAAACCCTTGAGTGACACTCAAACATAAAGCCATACAAATTAAAAGTCCGAGAATGACATAGAGGATATATTATGTAGAGAGGAAATGGCCAGTCGTAGAGCCAACTGAAAGTATTGACAAGGAAAAGCGTCAAATGAAGACATTTTGCTGAAGTCTTATATTTCAGTCAGAAGTCAAGGAATCAATAATAATAGCGCCTTGACCTTGTATGGAATAATAGTCTATGAGGTCGCTAGCTTTGTAACCGGAAGGACCTAGGTTCGAACCCCTTGCAGTGAGTGAATACTGATGAAGAGTCTCAAACTAGGCTGATGAAACAGCTGTCCAATACTCCCTGCAGGTTTTCCAATGATTCTCTCTCACTGATGTCAGCTCATGATAAAATCCTCTAACCAATCAAACGAAATCCCTACAAAAATCAATACTTGATAACGTAGAACATTTAAACAACAACACCAACAAGCGATACTTACAAATTAGTTTGAATCGATTCATTCACGATCGAAGCTACTGTGTCCGTCTGTCTTGGAACTCCTTCTTCTTTACCAGTAGAAGTATTCGTCACTGCAGTATTCAATATATCACGAATAGGTACCATTACAAGCCAACTATGCATTAAATCGTTAGCTGTTTTACGTGATAGAGCCACTTCTGTGTCTAATTCATCAGCTTTGCTATTAGACTTTGTTGATCGAAGGTACTGGGATTTCGAATGTTTTGAACGACGGGATACTAATAGGAGAAGTATTTGTGGGGAATAAAACTGCATGTCTTGTAATTCATAAGGTCTAGAGAAGGAAACCACACAAACACAAAAAAAAACAGAAAAAGAACTTGAAAAATTTGCAAAAAAAAACAAAATATTTTGAAGAGGGGGCAATGAATGCTTCAGACTCTTACATTGTGCTTATAAACAGATACTAATGGTCTAAGCGATGGAGTTTTAGTCAGTGAGTCTCTAGTTTGTCTCTCACTTTACCTACTTAAGTTTAAGCAATTCACTAGTATTGCGGTGAGAGCTGTCTGTAAGCGAAAATTGTAGACAGCAATTGACGTTAGTGTTTACGTCCCGAATCAAGCCTCACCTTGAGGAACTCAACAATCAATCACAGCAGACTTAACGTGTGCAAATACGATTCGCAGGTATATGGCCTGACTTTCTAAGAAACGGCCACAAACAGACGACAGAATAACTTTCAGCAAGAAAACAACCAATCAGAAGACGTTGCTTTTCCGCTGACAATAATGTGTATATATATATATATGTTCATTTTCTCAATAAACGATCTGCTGCCTGGCCCTTGTCTTCTGTAGTTACAGTATCACCACGCCTCACACAATACGTATGCTTAAAAGACTAGTACATGAGAAATCTGTCCCATGGGGTGGGGCCGAGTTGAGTTAATGGATATCAAGCAGGGATTGATAAGGCCTTCATCTCTATTCTATCAGGTTTGACTTACCAATTCTCTTCTTTCATACAGTGTAAGGAATCATAATTCATTTGGACAGGTCACAAACTCACATGTTCAAAAATTAACCAAACATCCATAAATGTAACTTATTCACAAAATGAACGAATAGTCCCATCTATCTATTTCATAATCGATTATTATGAATAGAATTATCATTTATTGTTAGTATTCTTGTTTTGGCTATTTCGTTTATAATTATTCTTATAGAATTTTAAAGGACCGATTGTTGGATAAGGAATAATCTTTTCGATAACTTCGTCATTAGGTTCTACAGTTATATATGAATAGAATTACAAGCAGTTGGCAGCTTGACAAAGATATATTATACTCAACCATCTGATTTACAAGGCAATTGAATAACTTTCAAGCACTTAACTCATATATTTTATGCAGTGCTTCATTTATATCTTTCGCGAAATGTGATAAATTATTATCAACATACTTATGACATTCGACTGCATTCCTTGTACACAAACAAACGTTATAATCCCATGGAGGATGGGATGGATAATGAGAACAGCTAACTGTATAGAAATATGTAATCAAGCTATTAAAGTCTGGGAAGGCAGCAGAATTGAAGAGAATTCCTCCGGCAGCATTGAAAACAGGATCAAAGACTGCAGAGAATGTGCTCGTGCCAGTACTGAAAAAAGTTTGAAAGGAAGGAAGGAAAGGAACTTACGGATTGGAAGAAAGGTTACATTGTCAAACTACCAGAGAGAGAATTAAGGCTTTGGAAAATCTGTCACAGAATCATGCTCTTATCTACAGCAAGCAAAATATTACGTCGCGTCGTCCTTGAAAAACTGAAAGATGTATTGGATAAAAAACTGCCAGGAAAAGAAAATCATATGCGGATCAAACAGCGACCCGACGCATCATCATCGAGCACAGCGTAGACTGGCAGTTAAATCTCTATCTCAATTTCATCGACTTTGAAAAGACCTTCTACAGTGTTGACCGAGAGGTAATTTGGAAACTACTTCAACATTATGGAGTGCAGTACACCAAATGTTTACCGATGACATTCAACAGGTATATGGCAATGACACGTGTTAGGTGATCCACAACGGAAAACTCAGTGAAGCCTTCTTATCGGTGAATAAGTTGACTCAGGAAGATCTGGATTCCGCGGACGACTTATGCCTAATGTCACACAAATTCGAAGACTTGCAGGCGAAAACAAACAAACTGACAGAAGAGACAGGCAGAGAAGACAGGTCTCCAGGTGAACGTAGAGAATAACCAACCAACAGAAACAACGAACAGTAGCAATCGCCATCACCAGTAGAAACTTGAAAGAGGTCACTCCCGTCATTTATCTAGGAAGCACGGTTTCAACCACAGTCACTCCAGAGGGATGAAGACGTCAAAGCCAGAATCGCAAAGGCAAGGTACACCTTAATCACACTGCAAATGAGTTTTGGAATCTTCTGTACTCAGTCAGCATAAAGAACAAGATTTTTATCTTCAACACAAATGTCAATCAGTCAATGGTTCCATACGGGTAAGAAACTTGCAATGCACACTACGAAAAGTATTTCCAACAGCCAGTTACAGACTTTTATCAACAACTGTCTTCGCTCTAAGTTGAAGAACGAATGGCAGGAGAAGTAGCAATAAGAAAATCGTGAAACAAGCAAACAAACAAACTAAGGACATATTTCTCAAAAAACATTCCGAAGATAACAACGATGAATCGGACACTTATTGATGAAACCGTAGAATAACATCACACGCCAGTCAGGTCAAGTTGGATTGGATTGGATCCGACGGTGACATGGACGAGATGATAAGAGGAGGACATCAGAGACTACTGGTAATCAAGACACCAGATAAAAGGGGACCACAAAGAACAGAATACAATGGAAATATATTGGTGAAGCCCACTTGGAACCCAAGGGAACAATAAAAATAATAAATCTGAACTGATGAAGACTAACACACTGTTTGCTTGTATAAATTAATACTCTACAATTAACCAATACATCTCATTACACATTTAGTGAATAAACAGAATACACTTGAACTAATCTGACCAGGTTTTTAGTATAAAAACTTCAGAATGCACATTATTTCACATAGTCACTCAGCAGTTAGTTATGTCTTCATAGCAATGACTTCTGGTAAGATAGACGCATGAAGCTCTTATCTATTAAGATAAATATCCATTACGAAATAGATTGAATTTATCCAATATCAATCATAGTGAAACCATACACAGCATAAAAGATATGTTCGAGTGTGGGTGGGTGTTGTCTTTGACACTTTTTAACTGGATCTACAATGGAGATGTGGTTCATTAGCCTCAAGGTATCGATTTCCGAATAATTGACTAATGATGAGTTCAAACTCCACTCCATCCCACCTACTGGATATTTGAAAAGAGAGTCAGGGGTAGTTTGTTCAATGTATTATAAAGACATAAAGAGTGCACTTACAAATTTGCAGGGTTTGAATCACCAGGTATAGAATCCAGAAGAAGTTCAACACCATTCAATACGCTACAGAAAAACAAAATAAGACAATTGAAATGAATAATAAAAACTAGAAGTCCATAGAAAATCAATAAATCGAAACAAAGGATAGCAGCTTTTGTGCAACGGTACCAACACAATTATCATATCACTTATAAAGTATCGACGTTCCCATTGATTTATTGAACTGAAGTGCTCAACCTTAGGTTGACATGTCAGTTCCGTGAGCTGATGCTTCGACAATATCTGATTATTAAACTTGAAGTAATTTGGTAGATGGAGAGTAGCAGTGGAATCCAGGACAAAGCGCATCCCGTCCTATTTGACACACGTCATCTGGATGTGCCTTCCATCCTCAGTATGTGATGATGGCGCTCCCAATGACATGTCAACAGAGGCCGAACACTTTGGCCCATTCAAACAAAGGGTAAATCCAAATTGAATTAAAAATTAATTGACCACCCATTGCACAAGAGGTGGTTTGCGTCGCCCAAATGGTTTAGTGGATAACGCTTTGGCGGATGACGGGTCTCAAACAGGGCGAAATATGCATCCTGGTGGATTCGTCTGCTAGTAATCATCAAACAATTTATTGATAAACTTGTGTATTTGACCAACTAATTCTCAATTAATAAGTCACTATTCTCAGCTAATCCGATTTACTTTATGGGTCCAATTCGCAACTTTTTTAATTTACACAATTCAAGGATGTGAAATGTCACTGCAATTTCTTGTGGGAACTGAGACTGTTTATCTCATAATATTTGATCTGCTTAATGCTATAAATGACAATCAAGGAATCGAGAATAATTACATCATGCCATATACTACTGATTGATTAATGAGTAGTTGCATACTACCCAAATCAACTAACAGTGTTTGCTAGCCAGACAAAAGTCATTTAAACACCGTAAGATCGTTTCGCTTGTTTGGGGCCGACATTCACAGTAATGCATCCGATTGGATTTAATGTATAAAAATCAGTCTTTTCAATGGAGAATGATGCTCAGGGGGGCTTTATGTGCTCTTGGAAGTGTGTGGGCGGTTGTTACTTCCCGGCTGCCCACACCGTGGAAGTTGCTTGATTCTTCGGATACCTGAAACAGAGAGAGGGTTAGTGTTGCGGGACCGCAGAGCCCAGGGGACAAATGCTTGAGGCCGGTTGCACATGGCCTGTATGAACTGGTTTCTTGGATTGGTTCCGTATTAGTAAAGTTACCGCCGGTTATGGACCACCGTAGGGTAAGTCGGGATGTACAATTTTTGGGGTCGACATTTGCTAACTCCCTCTCTCCAGAATAAAGATACAGCATAGCTGGTATGCTGGTCATTTGAGGGAAGCACCTCACTGCTGTTACACCTCTGTTCCCCAGCATAGTGTAAGAAAAAAATCTTACACTATGCCGGTAACTGCTTTTAGTCTTATCGCTATCCTAACAACTTTCGTGACATGGTAGGACCTGCGAGAACGATAGTTCCAGTGAGTGTAGACTGTTGGGTCATTGCGATTTGCAAGCCCAACCACCACGTCAGGGTAGCAACTGTCGGTTGGGGGTGCAGATGCCTCCACTCCTTGTGACTTATCATATATGGTTCTTCCATATTACTATTCTTTTTCCCTAACATCTCTGTCTACTGTCTCTGTTATGAATCTCTTTTTACTTTCTTCTCTTGCTTTGTATGCTATGTTAAGTCTGAAAATTCGAACTGCTGAACATCGGTGCAAAGTCCTACGTTGAAGCCCGCCAGTCAGTCAGTCTTTTCAAACCACTCAAATTTCGGCTAACCAATTAGGTTAACTGGCAATACTATTTCTACTTTCTGCTCGGTTACATATGATAAAACACAAACTTGCTACAACTGAAGCAACAAAAGATGAGTCATACAAAAGAGACAACAAAATAAGAGGAGAATTAGAATAATTAGGGGACAGCATAATGAGCATACACTCATCAACAGCGTTCATTACTTCGTATCACTTTCAGAAGTAGGAAACAAAAGAAAACTGTAGCATGTCCCCCACAGGTTTCAACTTTCAGCTAAATATGATACGGTATCTAGTTAGCCACTATGTCACATAATCTCTAAAACTTTACACAAAAAGCCATGATACGCTAACAGATGCTAACATATCACAACTCTCCTTCACTCAAGATGGCAGCACGTCATGCATCCACCACCTCTTCACTTGCTCCATCCTGTCCCAGAGCTAGTAAACAGTGAACACTGGACGCGAGCCACCAGGATGGCACTCGTATTGCAGATAGCCTTAGGTGTTTGACTTTCTAGTACTAGCAATAGCTGTCAGTCTTTATCTTACACAGTCAACTCTAAGATAATAAGTGAAGTTCTAAATTCCAACTGATTAAATATCATCTACAACAAAAAGCCTGAGTCGGTGGCTTAGCGCTAGAATGCTCACCAACCATGCATGTGATCCGGGGTTTGATCCCCGACCACCAAGGCACTCCACTGCTTTACCTCACTACGCCGGTAATACGACTTGTAAAGGAGGAAGGTTGGGCATGAGGCTAGTAACCCCATGCCGTAAAATTAAAACACTAGTGTTATCGAAACTTCAAAGTTCTAGTTGGAGCGAAAAAGGAATCAAATAAATAATAATACTAAGTTTCAAAAAGCGTCGTCAATGCTGCACAATATATTTTTTAAAATTCAGATACGAACTGCTGAATAAAAAGTCGAGATTATTAACTTCAACGTCATCTAAACGATGACACATAAGTCACGAAGTCGACTGTTTAATATGCACAAGAAGGTGAACCAATTATACCTATTTAACTGATGAAAGATAGAATGCAATTAACAAGGCGATAAAACTGTTTACATTTAGTTTACAAACACTATACAGCAGGATGCATAAGCACACAGGCTAATTATCCACTTTTAAAATAGAATCATTATGAGTGCTCAATAATTAATAGTCCTCAATCTGTACCACAGGTAAGAATCTATTTCTCAAAGGTACGCAAAATAAAGTGGAGAGAGAGAGAGTAGACATACACCAAGGTGACAGTTTTAAGTAACGTTACACAATTAGAACCTGAAGTGGGAGCCGAATGAGAAGAAGAGACGAGTTGAGAATCCGAAGATGACAGGAAGGAGACTGTGTAAACGGGAAATGAAAGGTTGTAGACAGTTGTGGAGCAAGATGAAAGTGATGACAGAGAACCGTGTATAATGCAAATGTACAGCAAGGAAAGAGTGTTCTTAATACTAGATGACTGGGGGGCAATCGGTAGGATGCTCTACTTGATCTGGGTTTCGTGCTAGTTGGCACTCATCAGTAAGTATGACGTATCTGCAAAAGTGGACGAACTGATATTCCCTCCGAGAGTCAAATCCGTGTCACTCAGTGCTGTAGTCAGAGACGTTACTACTGAGCTATTAAACTTGCAATTGACTAACTGTAAGACTGTATTAGATACTTTGACTGAACACCAGGTAATAAGCTACTGGTATCATACATGTAGTCTGTTGTCTGGCGCAGACTGAATTCTATCAGCCATCTAACATGGTGGCACTCTTTTGCATTCCAAGTGGAAGAGTGGGCTTAAGATTGAGTTCTGAAGTTTTAGTAGGAATAGTGTTTATTTTTTACGGCGTAGGACAGCTAGTCTCATACCCAACCTTCCATCTTAAGCCGGTATATTGTTAGCCAATAGGCAAGGTGAGGTTTAGGAGTGCATAGGCCAGCAATCGAACTCTGGAGTATGTGAGCGTGGTCGGCGACGTCATACTCAGAACGAGATAGGTTAAACAACAAGAACTAAACGACTAAATCGATATGAGGAAATATTTCGTTTATCAGAGAACAAAAAAAGCAACCAAGCAACATTAAAAGGCGAAAAAAAACCTACTGAAATGCAGAATTAACACTATTTCCGTCTACTTCAATTGCCAGTAATGAACTGAAGCCGAAATTTTCATCTCCCATTGTATACGCCATCAATACTGTTCCTTTCGATGTATGAGATGTTGACTTTGTTTCATTCGACTCTTCTAAACAATTGACTGATGTACAGTGTACAGCGAAGTCCAGCAGGTCAGGTGAACTAAAATAAGGAGAAGAACGGGAAGAAGTAAATTTTGAATACAATCCTACTGTGTAGTTTATACATCTCATGATTCACATAATGAACGCCATACACAATGAATAAAAATTAGATTAAATTAAATATTTGTATAAATCTCAGCAGGGGACATTTGAGACCCTACGTACGATTCTAAATAAAGCAGGAATTAGGGTGGCATTCAAACCTAAAATCTCACTCAGACACAAAGCTCTGTAAGCTAAAAGATCCGATGGACTCAATTAAACAAAATAATATAATTTACAAAATACCTTGCAGTGACTGTGGGTGAAGTCAACTACATAGGTCAAACTAGTAGGTCAGGGGTAGTCAGATTGTCAGGACATAAGAATTTAGCTAAGGTAAGAATGGTTGACCTCGAGAAGATTAGTAATTTAGAAAAATACTCAGCGATCGCACTGCATGCATTAACACACAACCACACAATAGGGTGGGAGAGGGTTACAATTCTAAAAAGTAATCTAGGTAGGTGGAGAGAGAGGTTGATTACTGAATCCTGCCCGGTTCATTGAGTCTACACACAACACAACACATGCAGTAGAAGTGACTCAAAGCAAATACGAGAGATATGGGAGATAGAATTACCAGTCAAATTAGAGGATAATAAATAATCTTAAAATTCTATTTCAATTCAAGGACATCACAAAATTCTAACAAGTTACTTATTATGAATATAAAAACACTCGTCTTATTTCCCATCTGATTGTATTTGATTGATAACCCTCATATTATTATTTCTGAATGTACTTTATCTTATATTGATTTTTATTCAAATGTCGAATCATCAATTACACTCATGTACATAAATGAAGGAAAAAAGTTGTGTGAGTAACTTGATATGATTATGAGCAATAGTTTGTGCTCAGAACGTGGTCATCAGTTAATATTACTGTACAACACTGTGTGATTTATTTTGATAAAGTCTTATCCATAATGGACTCAATGAATTCCATTATGGGTAAAATTTATTTTGGTAAAGTTTCACAGTGTTTGTTATATACAGTAATATTTACGTGATGACCACGTTTCGAGCACAGCTGATTGCCACTCATAATCATATCAAAGCACTACTCACTCACACAACTTTCTAACTTAGTTTACATAATTCCATAATTATTTTGTATTGCTTCATTTGATTGGTAGTGGTATTTTCCATATTTCCGGTATGTGCGATGACGAGTTATTCCTGTTGCACGTGCTGGGTAGAGACTCGATGAACCAGGCAGGATTCAGTAATCAACCTCTCTCTCCACCTACACAGATTACTTCTTAGAATCTTAACCCTCTCCCACCCTATTGTATGGTAGTGTGTTAATGCATGCAGTGCAATCGCTGAGTATTTTTCTAAATTACTAATCTTCTCGAGGTCAACCATTCTTACCTTAGCTAAATTCTCATGTTCCGACAATCTGACTACCCCCGACCTACTAGTTTGACTTATGTAGTTGACTTAACTCACAGTCATTACAAAGTATTTTGTAAATTATATTATTTTGTCTAAATGGATGGAACCCGAAGGGGAAGCGCCTAGTTGGTAGTCAGTGAGAGGGTGACATGGAGGAAGTCATATGAAGAGGAGATAAAAGCATGTGGGCAGATGTGGAGCCAGGTGAAAACTCTAGCAGAGAACCGAACGCAATGGAGATGTGCAACTGAAGCCCTACGTTCCTCTAAGAATCAAAGGAAACAATAATAATGATAACAATACTGTAAGACTTTATCAAAATAAATTTTATCCACAATGGAATTATACTCTACCACAGTGCACAAGTTCTGTTCAAGAATACCTATTCCGCATGGCAGCAGAGTGGTAATAGTGGCTTTATTGTGAGTGGGATAATAGAACACCTTGTCAACACTGGTCATTCCATCACAACAAATGCCCCACCCCACTTCAAAGTAATGTACAGAGTGAAGACTAAAGACAATACGCTTTCGTCTACTTTGCCCTACCAAAGCTTTAGCCATTCATATGGAAAAACCAGAGCTATACATACAGAAGAAAATTATTCAACCATTTCTATTATCTTGGGAACGACCTTATAACTTTTGTATTTCTTTAAGACTCCCATGTAATTCCATAATTTCCTTCATTTCTGCGTACATCTTAATCAACACTCAATCATTAAACTGTTCATCTTGTTACATAACTGAAGTACCATTAATCAACTTCTTTTATGCATTATTAACTAACATTAACAACTATGTTTTCTCTTGACAACTCAGCACAACTATCCTCTTAATAATCTCTACTCCCATCCCACTAGTTACAACTTGACCATACATCACATCTTTTGAAATATTTTCATGAAGTAAACAATAACCTTAACTAATTATTATTCTTATCTGACAAAGGTAGTGTGTACACACACGCACATATACAAAAACAACTAGATTGTAAAGCTCAGTGAATGAATTCGCCGTCGAAAAGAGACTCTTCGCTGAACTACGTGTTTTCCTTTCATTTATGTCTAGATGCGGATTGATTATCCATGAACTAAACACTAAAATCAGCATTTCTAGTCAGTGATTACAGAGGCAGAAGTGTTCATCCTTCAAATTTGGATTTGGTTTACGTTGTGGTCAGGAAATAATCTCATTGGATAGCTTTTCATCGCATTCTCTAACATTGAGCCAATCACCAACCAATCAGAACGAACTATTTTCCGATGGCCTAGACCACTTTTAATGTGTTTAAAAATGTATAAATATGATGTGCATTTTAATGAAATAAAAAAGACCCGTTATTATTTCTCTTATCTTCTGCCGTTACACTCAAGAGCAATTTAGAATGCAATTGCAATTGAATATTGAAAATAACTTAAGAAATTACTTACTCCCCATTGAATAAAACCTGTGTAGACCGACGGTTCACATCTAGACAGCCACGAGTAGTATTTGAATTCTGAAGAAAAAAACGTGGAGAAATACATTACTTGACAAGAATTATAAAACAATATCGTCAACTAAAATTAGAACTTAGGAAATTTTTTGGTTGTACTAATTGGCTGGCATGTGCGTCGGTGGCACAGAGGTTAGGACGCTCGCCGACCATGCACATGGTCCGGGGTCCGACCCCCGGCCACAGACGCACTCCTTCACCTCAATAAACCAATAATAAAGCTGGTAAGGAGGAAAGGTTGGTTGGGCATGAAGCTAGCAGCCCTATACTGTAAAAATTAACACTGCTACCGAAACTTCGAGCCTCTAACTTGAAGCCCTATGTCCCAGTGCGAACGTGAAGGAAAAAGAATTGGTTGGCATAAAGCTGTTGTAATGATCCACAAATATGCTGTGCAGCTGTAGAGTATCAAAGAAGTCAAAAAATACTTCCGTAAGAACCAAAGGAATATTGTACTGTAACGGTAGGAGATGAAGACTTGCTGAAGGAATGTTTATTTGGAAATTGGTGTCTCTATATAGCCAAATGATGTACACCTTATATCTTCAACGCACAATTTGCACAGATCTTCGTATCATGGTACTTCTGGCCTTCCTTCATATTGTGTTTCTTCGTGTTCCTTTCATGTCTCCCGTGTATCTGCACAACGCTGTACCATTAGCTTTCTCTGACATCAACTGTATCTCCTTGATATTTGATGTTTTTATTCGACCGATGAACGTCTCTTTATATACTACTGATAAATCTTATCAGTAGCATTCGCCACAATACCTGCAGTCAAGCAGAAATAGTTAAAGAGTTCACGTACCTACGAATAGCTGTATGATTACTAGTAGAGGCGAATAAAGGATAGTAAAAATGACACGCCATATTCTATAACATATTACCGTTTGTGATAATTATCGAATTTAACAACACTTTAGTGTAGGCAATTCTGACCTGAATTAGTGAAAATTGACATCGTCGAGATGACGATATCCGTCAATTCTGTGTACTTTACCACTACTGTCCACGTAGAACTGTTTCCGTTTAGTGACAACAACAAGCACTTTAAAATGCCACGCTCAGATATATCATGGTTGTTCTTGTGTCAACTAAGAACATTACAATTCATGGTATAGAGACGTGAAACGAATCTTATCTCAATACTTCTAACAAAGAATTGGAGGAAACAACGCCGTCATTGTATGACGTGATTTCATAGGATGAAGGATATATTTATCTCCCTTAAAATCACTTAAGGGAGATAAATCACCAGGAATTGACAACATACCGGCAGAACTAATTAAACATGGTGGACCACAAACAGTTAAATGGCTGAAAGCAGCCTGTCAAAAAATCTGGCAAGAAAAAGAATGGCCTAAAGAATGGACTCAGTCACTAATCATTCCAATATTTAAGAAAGGGGACGCAAAGCAGTGCGAGAACTACAGAACAATAAGTTTAATCAGCCACCCAAGTAAAGTCATGCTGAAAGTAATATTGAACAGACTCAAAAAGAAAGTAGAGGAAATACTCTCAGAAGAACAGGCCGGATTCAGGCCGGGCAGAAGCACTGCTGAACAAATTTTTAACATGAGGGTACTAAACGAAAAATGTCTACAACACCAAAAAATGCTAGTACACAACTTTATCGATTTTAAGAAGGCCTTTGACCGTGTGTGGCACGAAGGCTTATGGCAAGTCATGAATAACTACAATATAGATAAAAACATAATTGAGGTTATTAAGTCTTTATATAACAAATCTAGTAGTGCAGTATCTCTAAATAATCAAACTGGCGAGTTCTTCAGAACAACTATAGGAGTACGCCAAGGGTGCATTCTCTCACCAGTCCTCTTTAATTTATTCCTCGAACATATTATGACACAAACCCTACATGACTTTACACCGACACTTAGCATAAACGGAAGACCAATTTCCAACCTCAGATTTGCTGATGATATAGCCCTCATTGGGGAAAACATTGATCAAGTTCAGGACCTCACCTCAAGACTTGATGTTGCAACCAAATCTGTGGGCATGGAAATCAGCACAGAAAAAAGCAAAATACTCATTAACGGAGGAAACAGCTCAGATAGATGTATCAGACTTGATGGACATGTATTAGAAGAGGTTGAAACTTTCAAATACCTTGGGTCTACCCTAACAAAAGATGGAAGGTCCACTAAGGAAATAAAAATTCGACTAAACCTAGCCTCTGCCAACATGTCCAAGTTAGGGAAAATATGGAAGAGCAACATCAGCGTCTCAGCAAAAATGAAACTCTACTCGTCACTGGTCCTCTCTGTATTCCTATATGGATGTGAGAGCTGGACCCTGAATGCAGAGACAGAAAGAAGAATACAAGCCTTCGAAAACAAAAGCTATAGAAGGATCCTAGGAATAAGTTACCTTGAAAGGAAAACTAATGAATATGTCTTACACCAGGTCCATAGACTGGCAGGAAAACAGGAACCACTCCTTTCAATCGTAAAGAAACGGAAACTACAATGGTTCGGCCACACGGTAAGACATGACACATTGTCCAAAACGATTCTACAAGGCACAGTAGGAGGAGCACGAAAGAGAGGTCGACCGAATAAGAGCTGGCTTGACAACATAAAAGAGTGGACTGAAATGCCCTTGGATACGCTACAGAAAATAGCATTAAACCGAGAAGAATGGCGAAGACTGATAGCGCGAACTGTCATAGCACCCCCACGACGAAAGTCAAGGGACTGATGATGATGATGATGAATGTATCAACCGACACTACTGAAGAAGTTATTGATCTTCTATGGGACAGTGTCAAATACGACGATTGGTCAACGTGGTGCCAGTATCAGTCACAGTGTGTAGTGATCAGTGTAAGACTTCCCGCTTACTGTCTCTAATTATCTAGCACCAAATTCGAAAGGTACCTTGATGAAGTGTGTTCTACTGTGTTGACGAGTCAAAATTCGTCAGCGACAAGCAATTGACAACCAAAGGAACTCCTAAGTAAGTTCTACTCACCACCCTAGTTGATTGAAGACAATGGAGAGAGATCCCATAGTTGACATAAATCTTGTGTTTATCAAAAGTCATCAGCATACCTACAACGTCAGAGAAATGAAAGTGGGCATCAGATGCCATTTGTCTCAGGTTACACTTCGTTCATTGTGTCCCTTAGTTGAACACAAGGTCTCAAACTTCAGGTGTAAAAATTCCAGTAGCGACGTTTTGTAATCCTTCACTTCAAGCTGGCGTTCTAAAGTATCAGTAGCAGTGTTTTCACGGGAAGGGGTTGCCAGTCACATGCTCAACCTGCCCTCTTTATCTGGCTTACTGCCGTCTAAATAAGGTGAGGAAGTGCGCCGGCGAAGAGTCGAACCCTGAACCATTTAAATGGTAGGCCAATATTCCATCATTGAAATACCAATGCACATGATGACTACAGCTTTCGACTGTTTAAGACCACCATCGGTAAACCAGTGCACAAGGAGATCAAGTTAATCCATATTCTGCTTGAAATAACATAACCACACTACTTCCATAATTGTAGGGTCTAAACTGCAATTGCAACATTCAACGCAACAGATGTAGAAGTTACTCGTCAATAACGAAAGCGTTTTTTGAGTAAATCTGGAATAGCTGCGTTAGAACCATGAGGAGCAGTCTCACTGCATGCCCAAGGAATATCATGCAGTGTTAACTTGCGAAACCATGCCACCGATACGAAAATTCTTGAAGTGAACTCTAATATTCCCGATAAAGTCACTTCACACGAACCAGATATTTCAAGTATGCAATGAATAATGGAGTTTATGAATAATTGACGTTTTTTCAATGACTAATTTTTTCTAGCTCAACAGCCTCGCGTAAGTCTATACACATTCCATAAGAAATAAAAACATTTTTGAGGCCATTTCCATACTCTGACTCCAAATAAAGAGAAAGAAAGCACTAATCAATTGGTGAGAACCTAGGTTAATGGTAAGGCAGATCTTCTAAAATACGTTTTGGTAGCACCAAAACCTGGTTTTGTCTAAGTACTCATCCTTCAAGGTTATCTACGTGACAAAATCGAATCGCTCCAAAAGTTAACGTTTTCTTCATTTATACATAGCCAAAGCTTTAGCTTTACATGAACAGAAACCTAAATTATGTGTTCAAAAACGCTTTGTCAAACCCCTTTCTTTACCTTGGTCATTGTAATGTTCTTTCCAGTTTTTATTTTATTTTATTTTACCACTTGAATTCATTCCACTTCACTTCACATCTTCATTCTTATCGTTATCGTACTCCTAATTTTTTTTTTAAATTTAGACATTTTTGATTTCAATTCACTTATAAAACAATCTTTAATAATTTTGTAATTCATCCACTTCAACTCTACCCCTTATAACATTTTAATTATCGTTATTCTTATCACTTATATATGTGTATATTGACTGAGCAATTATTTAGTGCCACTTAATAACTTTTTCTGTAATATAAATACGACTGTACAGTTGGCTTGAAAATGAAGTCGCTGAAAAGAAATTTCTTCGCTGAACAAAAACAAACTGTGTTTTCACTTATAAGGGCTCAGTGACAGAAATGAAATCAAATGTTAACGAACACAAAATGCTTTTTTGCATTCCACTTCACCTGCGGAATAGCTTTTGAAGCAATTGTAGAGATGGTGCATTAGTCCTGGAGATGGTATAGGTAATGTAGGAAGGATACAGAGGAACAATGCGTTGAAATAAACGGAAATATCACCCGCATCTATTGCACATTTATTTGAGTCATATCAACACTTAACTAAGTTATCGATAATTTAAGATTTAACGACATTGGGTGACAAAGTATGGATGAATTATAATTTCCTAAAACGGAGGAAAAACCATCCCTCCACTTTCAAACTTAATTTATGCTACTACCACAAGTAGCCACGAATTCTGATCTGTGATGATTGGTAAATGAAACTAGTTCCTACAGAACTGTGATATATAAAGGTCAACAGCTACTCTGATGCCTTAACATATACCTTATTTGTAACAGTTAAACTATTATTTACGAGGAAATAGACGGGTAATGAAACACAAGACATTTGCAAAACCGAACTAACCAGTGTGTACAAATAAACTCAGTGCCGATGGTGTCATTTATTTTCACAGGATGGAGCTGTTAACCACACAAGCACAACCTTCCTTCTTGATAAGACTTGCTAGCGGCTAGATTAGGTGAGGTTAAGGAGTGAGACGGGAATCGAACCTCGGACAACGTACGTGTCTGATGAGCATTCTACGACTGAACTACTCAAGCATTTTAAGGTAAATAAGATGGATCATATGGCCTCCAATGAATAATTATGCTAACTAGTTGTTTTCTTTAGGAGAGCAGCAGCACAATGTACACACCATTCTTAATCGATAAAACAATACTTTCTGTTTTACAACACCTTACAATGAACTGCAAACTGCCACTAAATAGAAATCTGTGCTACTGTGTGTTTAAGCACTATCTGTCTGTTTGGATTCAACATAGAACTTGGCACTGAAGTGCAGCAGTTCCAGTTGCCACGTTCCAAATAGTACACAAAGGTAGACAGGAAAATGAGTGAAGAGAATCAATAGAGTTTTGACAAGTATAAGAGTGAAACAGAATGAGTAATGGTAGAAAGGAATATGCAAGATTACAGAGACTGAATACATCTGCGTAAGCCATTGACAACGATTTTGAGCCATGTCACCTATTGTCTCCAGCCATTGATTCTTAGAGTCCCGAGGGTGGGCCCCAACCTGGAAGTCTGCATTTCCCTACCTGACTCAGCCTAACTGTCAACGATTTCATGGATTGATGAGGCCATGTTTTTGTTTGGCCACCACTTACTCTTTTCCAACCTGCACCTATATCAGCTAGTAATGCCCGTCCGTCGGGGGAGGCGATGGTTAGGCATGCATAGCACGTGACCTAGCCATCTCAATCTATTTGACTTTATAGCCTCTTCGATTGATTTTCCCTCTTTGCCCAACACTCTATACTTAACGTCAACATTACTTACCTTATTATACGCATTTAAGCATTGAGTGACAATCAATGGGATGCATAAATTTTACCTAAAAACCAATCGAATAGGGGAACCAACAAATAGAGATAATGTTACATAAACTTACTGCGGGTAATTTAATGAGATTTACTATATCATTCTCGATATTCTTTTGAATTAGATCAGCTAGCGTAGCTCGAGAACAGTAGGAAAAGAAACCATCTAAAGGAAATAAATCAATAAATCACATAAATCACTTATTTCCCAAAATAATATATATGAAGAAATCGCTGATTTATTAAATTGGATTTGCGGATACATGACGATGACTGCACGAAGGACGTCACATAATAGAATAATGGGTTATGATACCTTCCTTCGAACAACTTACACTATCAACATAATAAGATAAGCATTTATCACTGTATATGCAGACACACGTTATTTTGTGGGTCACGCACTGATTAAATCCAACAATCTGTTACCTTTATTCGTTAATTCATTCGACCACACGCACACCACTATCTCATCATACAGAAGAAGTGTGATCGAGTTACTGTATACATAAGCTGAGATTTTATAAGTTCTAATTCACTGTTACTTTGATAATTTGTTTTTACGAGTTTGACCAGGGATTGATATCAGTTAGAGAACCATTGAAAACCAGGGAGTATTGGACAGCTGCTTCATCCTAGTTTTGGGAGTCATCGGCAGTACGTACCCACTGGGATTCGAACCCAGGACCTTATGGTTACAAGGCCAGCCAGCTCGTATACCATTCAGCCACTGGGACCCAATTCAGTGGCCAGACAATGAATTCGAACTTCTACCAGTTCGTGATATAGCACGACCACCAACCAATGTCATCGGTGGGACATCTACCCTCACACACCTGACTGGTAGGACCTCACTGGTTACGACTTCGTACTAGAACACACTCTAGCAAACTCCGTCCTGTAGCAAGTCACTAGCGAGCATCACATTAATTTTCAGTATCAATCTGTGGTCAAACTCGTAAAAACAGATTTAATCCCTACAAGCCAACTACTCTTGAAAATTTGATAATTATCCATAAAAAAGACTAAATCCCTAAAGATTCTCTTTCTAATTGCATCTATAAAATAAAATGCTTAGAAAGTGATGCAATATACATCAGACAAACATCGCCAGAGAGAAATCAAAATCAGAAGGAATGAACATCATAGAGTATCTCTATTTGATCACAGAGAAATCCAGTTGAACTAGAAAGGCTTGAAAAATCATCAGCCAGCCATAGCTTCTCTACACGCTATAGAATCAGGTCACAAAATTGATTTTGACAATATTGAAATAATCCAGAAAAAGTATTTCAGAAATCACATAGAACATCGAATATTGTCAGAAGCACTTTATATCAAGTGGAATCAAAATTGTCTGATGAATATGAATGATTGAATAAAACAGAATTTGATCTGGTTACAACACTTCCCCCCCCCCCATGAGATGACAAAATCAACACATGGCAATAATGGTGCCAGCGTATCTGCCGTAGCCTCTAGGTCCGTTTCTAGTGGCTAAGGGGGAATTCTATGTAGCTCCGCTACCTCCCCGGGCTTCGGTATCTTAATCACACTCATGATTACCGCCTTTGTTAGAGGACAGATGTCCACTGGCAGTTCTGTGAGTGTTGTGGGTGGTATTTCTGGGCGAGTTCCAGGTGATGATCAATTTAAGAGTCATTTGAAGTGATCAGCCAATTGTTTCGTTTGTTTCTATTCCCTGGTAATTAGGTCCCTTTGACCATATTATATAGGTTTTTCCTGAGTTGATCCTTCCCGGACAGAGATCCGGTTATCTGATATAATGTTCCGAGGTCTCTTTAACCTGAGGATAAATCTTTCGCCAATTCGATTGCTTAGAGCAAATGCAACGACAGTGTAAAATGAAAATCGACACAAAATGGAAAGTTTGCAGGAATCGTATATATACGGACTGGTCTCGTTAGTTGTACAACCAAACAAGATGCAAACTACTTACCTGGTAAATATGCTTTATCTGTTTGTTCAATAATTTCTTCAAGGGATTTACGTAAATTTGCACGTTCTGTATCCTTATGTAAAGATGATTGTGCAACAACTTCTAGTGGTTTATGAACTTCACCAGATCGAATATACTATATATGATTTAATGAAATGAATACAAAACAGTAGACATTGGAATAAACAATTCTAAGTGTGCAGAAAAAAAATATTTTGACTGCAGAAATAAAAATCCTTTACTTGGGAACAGGTTTTTCATGCAGCAGACTATGTACCCTATCTAGCATGAACTATTACAATTATTTATAGGATTTCATCATGAGCTGACATCAGTTAGAGAATCATTGGAAAAACCGATAGGGAGTCCTGGACAGCTGTTTCGTCATAGTTTTGAACTCTTCAGCATAAACTTAGTGTATTATGGGCACTAAGATATATGCTACGCAAAATTTCGTGGTTTGTACGACAGCTGAAATCCTACTCAGACGCCCACACTGAAACTAGTGGTTGCCAACCCTAACCCAACCCCGATTTTTTTACTTTAAGTCGCATCTACAACGCGGAAGAGCAACGTCATTGACGGTTTCTGGTGACCAACACGATTTCATACGCCATTTGGTCCTTTCGGATTTTGGATTGGGAATCGTAGTATTGCAGCACCCCCCTCCCAGGTAGACGAGCGTGTCCACCACCAGTCAGTCCGGTTGTAACTGCCAAACGTTCACATTTTCGCTTTCACTTATGTAAGAGACACTCCCGCAGTGATGAATAGAACTTACCTATTCCCGGAGATGAGCCGAGTGGTAGTCAAGTGCTAAAGACTATCACCCACCTCTATCCATAAGAATAGAAGATATTGAATCGGTACATAACTCACAGTAATGAAGCAAAAGATGTTGCAGTTAATTAACAAAACACTGTCAATTTGTCTAACCTGCTTCACTCGAAACAAGCGAAATCGCTATCCGACGTTTGGATCACATCGAGCCAAGTAGTAAGCACTACTGTTTGACGCGAGTACTTTTCTAACTACTGATACTACTCCGCAGTATATGACAAGTGGCTATATCGAGCTCTATGATTTATAGACACGTAACTGATGAATCAATAGCATTGAAACTTAGAATATCAATAGGTATAATACTCTTTACATTAATGGTGTGGATAGCCCCCATAGAAGACCTGGTACGGATAAGGATGGGTAGATTTCTGTCTTCTCCCCGGAATGCTCTCAAGGGGCTACTCATTCATAGCCACTGCCATGTGAGACCTATTCACTGTCTATACACAAGCAGACTATTCCCAACAAACGTGAAAAGGCGCTTACAACTACACTGGTGGACATTCAGGACGAAATACAGGAGCTAGAAAGCCCTGATTCGAAATCGGTGATGTACAAAATCCGAACTCAACGAGTGGCGCATAAACTTATTTCTGTCACCGTGAATAATGGGCACGTAACCCCCACTACCTTGCGGATCAAACTTTAAGTCAAAGACTCCGGGGTCAACCCCTTCGAACAACCACCTGCCTCGGTCTGGGAGCCTAAACAGAGTCCAAGTCCTCGCAAAAACTGTGAGTTTTATTGTGGTTTATTTCTTGATGCCCATTATGTTTAAAGTTTGTGTTTTAGTAATAGCATTAGTAATAATATGGTGCGGGTGATATTTACTAATCTTTATCGGTGAAGTCTCTGAAGTTTGGTCGTTTCAAAACGATACAGCAAATCCACCACCGTTTTCTCAAGCACTGTCCAGCATGGATTATCCCGAGAGTGTTCCAGAGTAACTTCCAGTGGTTACGATACAAAAACGCTATATAACCGCCGAAATTCAAGCCTAAAATCAATTCAGCTTGAAGCGTTATATAGAAACTACATACTGATTGGTCAATTGGGAAATGACCAATGATATACTGCCTTTTCCTTAAGACTGGCGTAATCCTATTGGTCAATTGTGTAACGTGATCTCCAATCTAGGAAACTCGCCACTATAATGCACATTGAATACATTAACTCGGTTTTAACGTCTTTAACTGAAGCACTGGACGCATTTCAGTCCAAATTTTCGAAAGAATATATGAGTTACTTTGGAATAACATGCTGATGAGTGCCTAAAAGCATCAAACCTGGCATTAACCGCTTTCGACTGCTGGTTAGGTATTATACAAAATACAACAAAAATTAAAACATGCAAACAAAAAAGCCTCTCACCTGTTCAACTAAGTCAACTTGGTAATCTTGTAGCTCACCATCAACAACTTTTGGTTGCAGAGAATCCGTGATAAAATTAATAACAAGTTCACGTTCAGTAAGATTTAGCTATGCAGCAAATTCAAGGGTGGGAAAATTAGAACAAAAAGACAATGAAAAGCTAAAAAATGTATTTTTTTTATTCTCAAGTGTTGGTTCACAGGAATGTGATTGACTTCAAGAGAGATAGTGAAATGACATCAGTTGGAGAACCACTGGAAACTATAGTGAACTTGACAGCTGTTTTATCCTAGTTTGTGACTGTTCATCAGTAACCATGACTTCTCTGGGGGGGGTCGAAATCAGGATTTTCAGGTTTTGAGGTCATGAACCCACTGGTCAATTAGCCCCCCAGTGGGACTACTACATCCAATGATCTATAAACTCTAGGTTTTACTGATTCGCGATGTACGACAGCGCCAACGCTAGGTAGTGTAATGAACTAGAAACGTTATATGTAGCCTATTTCACTCCTATGGTTTAAGTCTGGATTTTAAATTTGCCAATTCACCTGCTCGTCTGGAGCCAGGTATGTCGACCGTACCCAGCGTTCGCTTTCCACACGTACCACCGAACACCTACCAGTATGGTTTTACAAAAGAGGAAAACGATGCTTCCATGCAGTTCTATCTTAGAACATCTGATAGAATCCGGACAACAAGCTACACCCCAAACAAACTTCAAAGTCATCTGTAGAATACGAAGCAGTCTTCCTAAAAGTGTACGAGTCAGACTTCTTCAAACTGCAGAAGCAATGGCAATTCACTTGCTAAGTTCTGAACTCTGTATACAGAAGAAGTTCATTCAATCACTACACTTGCAATGGACGTAATCTATCTTCATTAATACCTGACAGGTAAATTCTATTTCTATCTTTCTGTCTCTTCATTAGTATTATTTTGTCTTTTCAACTGTAATATTTTACACTTTCAACCTTTCTGTTTTCTACCCCAACCCGATTTAATTTCTACACTTCATTACCACTGTTACTGACTTGACCGATGTTCAATTTCTGGTCATTTATGTTACGTCATCCAATTTATTCGCTCAGTTTTAGTCCTAATTTAAATGGCATTATTCTCTACCCCACGTCTACTTAGTCTCTACATGTAATTACCTCTGTTGCTATTCTGACCTAAGTTGAGACAATTGAGTCAATTATGTTACGTCATCTAACTTACTAACTCAATCTTACTTTAGTTACTGTCTAATTAACCATGTTTCTATATTAGATCATTCTTGTATTACCTGATTAATTAATTATCTAAACTCGACAAACCTCATTTACACACACACACACAAATAATTGCATATAAATGCGATTGTACAGCTATGTGAATGAATTCACCGTCAAAAAGATTGTCTTTGCTGAACGTCTTCTCTTTTTCATATGACTCATTGGGGATTTTAAGCTACTTTAAATTTATCTTGATTTATGGTATAGTAAATCTTATATACTTTTTTTTTATGGTCTTTCTTCCTTGTTAATTAGTTCTACACTTTCCCGAAATTACATCGACTGAGATGGTTAGGACATGTGTTACGTATGCCTAGTCATCGCCTTCCTCGACGGGTCAGGCTGGAAAAGAGCTGGCGGCGGTCATGGCACCAGTCAATGAAATCTAAAACAATTAGTCTAGGTCACGTAGGAAGGTGTAGACTTCCTGACTACTGGTTGGGGTCCTCAGGACAGTAAAAACCAATGGTTGGAAACAATTGGTGACATGGCTCAAAATCGTTCTCAGTGGCGCAGATGCATCCACTTCTTGTGACTCATGATTTCCAATGAAACTGTTTTGTTCTTTGTTATTACTATTCCTCTGTCTCATATCCCTGTCTACCGTCTCTACTGTGCATTTCTTCTACTTTCTTCTCTTGCTTCGTGTGCTACCTGGAGTGTGGCGACTTGAACTGCCGCACATATGTGCAAAGTTCTATGTCGAAAACAGAGAGACACTTTCCCAATTACGTAAGCTCAGTCAATATTTTCCACCCATAGTAATAGTCATTTTTGTTGCTAACTGATAATAACTACCACTGGCCTTTGTCGGCAATTAACAGTATACACATTCATAAACGCCTAAAACATAATTCAACAGATTTCATGGGAAGTTACGACAAGCTACCATTTTGTGGAGTTCTATGCCCATTAAAATATACCTTCTAGATGTTAATAGTAAAGTTGTAGAGAGTGTTGACCACTTCACTTATTTGGGAGGTTGTATCGGACAGCCTCAGCGGTTTGGTCGCTAACGAAATCTCAGCTCGGATATACAAGGCTCGTTTGGCATTTGTCAGCCAACTTACGCCATCTCTCGCTTAATGGACGTGATAATCGGTTGGCTATCGATCAATGGGCATGTGTACTGCTCAGCAGTTTGCCCCGTCTTTCTCCTTTATGGCTGTGAGTGAGAGATGGCAACCATTGAAGGTGGAAGACATGAAAAGCCTAGCTAGCTGTCTTTCATCATACGTGCCTGCCTTCTATCTCCCATGTTAGGTGGTTGGTGTAATAAGGTGAATAATATTGAGAATCGATCGGCGAGGTTGTGAAGTTACATCGACTGAGATGGTTAGGACATGTGTTACACATGCATCCCTTTCCACCGATCACCTTTCTCGACAACAGGAAATGTTAGCTGACATAGGATTGATCAGGTTGGAAAAGAGCAAGCGGTGGTCAAACTATAACATGGTTTTATCAGTCAATGAAATCCACAACAGTTAGTTTCAGCCAGCCAGCCAGCCACATAGGCAGGTGTAGACTTCCTGACTGTTTGTTGTCTTTGGCGTGATAAGCACCAATGAAGGCTGGAGAAAATTGGTAAATATGGCTCAAAATTCTCGTTGTCGATGATGGCGCAGATGCTTTCACTCTTTGTGATTTGTTATATCGAATAAAACTATTGTTCTTTCAAATTACTATTATTTTTCCCTAACTCACACTTCTGTTTATTATTTGTCTTTTGATGTATCTCTCTTCACTTACTCTGTTTAGTACATGTAAAGGAGTGTGCGTCGGTGGCACAGCGATTAGGACGCTCGCCGACCATGCACATGGTCCGGGGTTCGATCCCCGGCCGAAGCACTCCTTTACCTCGGTAATCCAGTTATAAGACTGGTAAAGAGGGAAGGTTGGGCGTGAGGCTAGCAACCTCATCCCATAGAAATGAACACCACTGCTACCGAAACTTCAAGCCTCTAGCTTAAAGCTCTATGTTCCACTGGGAACGTGTAGGAATAAAAAGAAAAGGAGTGTAGCCACTCGACCTGGTTGACATCTGTGCAAAATAGTTCTACGTTGAAACTAGTCAGTCATTGATACAGTCCAGTACAGAAACGTGTACTAATTCAGCGGGTAGTATATTCAAACCCCCTAACCAAGAATAAACAGATTTCACCTTTAAACAAAAAAAAACAGTCAAATTTGTGCATATAAAAACTGTAGATTGAATGCAACAATTATCGCTTACTCTAGGATATTCAATCGGTAGAACACGTCCAGACTGTTCAAGTATAGCTAATTGCAAAGTGGACAAAACAGATGTGTAGATTGATAAGTAAGTACAACGACAAAAGAAGAAGAAAACATTTCAACAGTGAAACAGTGATTTAAATAAAAGACTTTCAATTGAAAAAATTAACCCAAACAAAAGAAAAAAAACAGTTCAACAAAGAATCGTCTCTCTTCGGCGGTAACGTCATTCACTCAGCTGTACAATCGCAATCATTAGGCTTGTCAGACAAGAATAAACCATTGGTTATAACATTCTCTGCTGCGAAATAACGATTGGTATTCTCAAACCGCCCACTATTCTTCAACAACTCTAAAGATAAACTGTCGCATTTGACCACTTATATGTACATCTACCATACTTACTTGCTGATGTGGACCGAGATATATATAAGTTGCTTGATCCGTGTTTTATTGGAAAGAGTCAAAGAACATTGTGTCGCTTGGCTACGAACAGGTAACAGTGGATGAATAAGAAGTGCGATATAACTGGACATATATATTCAATACTGGTCATTCAATATGTAAGGAGAATTCATTCAAAGTCATCTACAAAGACAAAAGAATCCTCCCGGAAACGGTATGCTTCCGTGTACTTTGCATTGACAAGGCCTTAGAGATTCGGATAACGAACCCTATTTACAGTCAACGCAATATAAATTTCCTTAGAGATAGTTGAGTTATATTCAATAGTGTGAGATTGGACAAATATACTAGCCGATAACATTGGCTGTTACCTGTAGTGCCATATTGTGCGTGAATTAGCAGGAGTTGAAATTCCTCTAACGGCGATTCAGTCAAGTCCCAGTGGCGTAATGGTCTACGAGCTGGAAGGTCCTGGGTTCAAACCATGTCGGTGGATAGGTGCTGCGGAAGAGTCTCAGACTAGGCGGATGAAACAGCTGTCCAGTACTCCATGGTTGGTTTTCTAATCGTTCTCTAATCGATACAAATACAATTACGATTATGCAACTTAAAGTAGATTTAGTACACTGCCATTGAATCAGTCTGAATCAGCGTTTAATTCAATGCCTAATAATAATAGCCAACAGAATGTATAGTATTACTAAAATAGGTTAACCACCTTATCCTAGAAGACTGACAGTTGATATTCATTGTAAACACTTAGCATTAATAATATTTCTCATCAGGAACAGTCTAGACTATTCAATTTATAAGAAATGAATAATAAGTTTAACCAATTTATACTCAGACGCTTTTCTAAGTGGAGGATGATAAACTGGGAGCCGGGAAGGCAAAGATGAGGTCCTTTCATTATACAGACATCAGTGTGGAGATCTACAACACAAATCAACAACATCCGAAAATTTAATACTGATACCAATCAGGTGATCACTTCTTTACAGTTAGCAGACATGCCACACGCGTTTCCAACAGTCTACAGCCTTCTCTTCATGGTGCAGATAGAAAGCATAAGCAAGAGGAACCGTGGCAGCAAACCAGGCAAGCACCAACCGCCCAACAAATATGTACCAGGGGAGTGAAGATGAACCCAATTCACTCCGAGAATGCCATTGGGTGATATTATACACCAGACTCTCAAGTGGAAACTAAGTGGATAGCGATGAACGGATTGTGAATGCGAGGTTAACTTGGATGAGACCATGTTGGAGGAGAATGAAAACTTGTGGACAGTCGAACAGCCAGTTGAAAGTGAAGGCAAAGAAGCGAATGGGATGGAAATGTACAGTTGAAGGCCCATATTCTACTAACAACACAAGGAACAAATCGAAAAAATAATAATAAAATAGTTCAAACAGAATTTTTCTATTTAATTTAATTTCAGATTTTCCCGTCGATTCATTGGTCCAAAGTGCTCGGTCTCAGGTTGACATGTCTGTCAGCTTCTTCTGCCGATGCTTCGACGATGTCTGGGCATTTAATTGGAATTTAATTGGTGGATGGTGACTAGCAGTCGAATACAGGATGCGCATTTCTATCTATTCGGGACTCGTCCACCGGCTGGATGTACCTGCATTCAGCAGTGAGTGGCCCAAGTGGCCTAGTGGATGACGCTTTGGCGTCTGAAACTATGGTCACTGGGTTCGAGCCTCGGTGGGAACACTATCACTGACTAACTGGGGAATGCAGGTACATCCAGATGACGAGTCTCAAATAGGACGAAATGCGCGTTGTCCTGGATTCCACTGCTAGTCACCATCCACCACTTAAGTTCTAATTACATATTTTTGCATAGAAAAGTTAGCTATAAATAATTTTCACAGAATCTAAGTGATGGATATACAATGAATTAATTAATATGCACAACTTACCACCAAATAACCATTTAAAGAAGGCGCGTAGTTTTATAATACTTTTTTCAATAACTCTATAATTAATTCAAACAAAAAAATACATATTGTAAAGAATAGATTAACAGAAATCAATTATTTCCAAAAAAAATTTTTAGAAAAATCAAAACAAGTGATTCAGCGAAGAGTTAAATTTTCTGAGAATAATCCTAACAGATAAATGGATTTCCGCCACGTTTAATAGATAACAATATACAGTCAAAGCCTATGAAAAGGTGCGTAACGTAACCAAGAAAATGCTGTACATGGGCTTGGAATTTAGAGGTGACTTAGCTTCCGATATCGTCATAAAAAGAAGGATCTCACAGTCCCTGGAAGGGACATTCACTACTGCATCGTTGATAGTAGCGTTTTACAGTCTACCATTACTGTTCAATAACCTGAAGGACAAGATCCCGTATTTGACCAACTCTATGCGCGTTTATGAATCCAACTGCTCGACTGGAGCTAGGAAAATCGGTCGTTAGACTCGAGTTTTGTCCAAGAGGGTGCAAGAACACCATCTTGAATAGATATGAAGGAGTGGAAGTGGAGCAATAAGATGCGAGATCGTTGAACACCTTGTCGATAATGATCACCCTACAGCCTCAGCCTTTAAGGTCATCTACAAGGCGAAAAGTAATTTGCCCAAATCACTACGTATCCGACTCATCTGTACTGCTGAAGCAGCTCAGGCTATCGAAACAGAAAAGCCAGATCTCTGTGTACAGAAAACGTTCTTTCAACTCCTCCTCTCCAACTGTCATGGTCTTAATCCCTCTATGCTAAAGTATGATAATCCCTAATAATATTTTAGCTCTACCTACTTTTCGTTTCGTTTATTCATTTTGTAAAGTGCGTCGGCGACACAGTGGTAGAATGCTCGCCAACCACGCATTTGGTCCGGGGTTCGATCCTCGGTCGACGTACTCCTTTGCCTCGCTCGCTAAGCCAGTAATAAGACTGGTAAAGAGGGAAGGTTGGTCGGGCATGATGCTAGCAATCCCATCCTGTAGAAATAAACACCACTGCTACCGAAACTTCAAGCTTCTAGCTTGAACCACTATGTTCCACTGGGAACGTAAAGGAATAAAAAAAAATTCAATTTGTATACTCTTCCTTTATTAAGTCAATTGTTACTATTACTATTCTCACTTTGAGTCGTCCCTGGTATTATTTCAATAGTTCCATTTGTCATTCTAAATCAATTCTGTTTTGCAACGTTAAATTCTATGTTCTCAAGTATTGGTTTTGTAGGGATTTTGTTTGACTGCATGAAGGACTTCATCATGAGCTGACATCAGTTAGAGAACCATTGGAAAACCTGCCAGGGAGTACTTGACAGCTGTTTCGTCCTGGTTTGGGACTCTTCATAGTACGCAACCACCAGGATTTGAACCCAGGACCTTCCGGTTTCAAGGTGAGCTCGCAGACCATTGACCTGGGGTTCTAGTGTGAAGTCGCGACCAGTAGGGTACAGCAGGTTGAAAATGAAGCAGTAACTCATTGAAGAAGACATTTCCAAAGGGTCGCGCTATGTCGTGAATTGGCAGAAGTTAGAATTCAAGGACCATTAGATCGGGTCCCAGTGGCTCAATGGTCTACGAGCTCGTCTTGTAACCGGAAGGGCCTGGTTTGGAATCCCGGAGGGTGCGTGCTGATGAAGAATTCCAAACAAGGACGAAACAGCTGTCCAGTACTCCCAGGTTTTCCAATAATTCTCTAACTGATGTCAGCTCATGATGAAATCCTCCATGCAATCAAATTCTATGTGATCAGATTTCATCCAATGTTACTTATCGTTTGATCTTTATTCTATTTGCGTATTAATCCAAGTCCTATACATCCTATGAATTTTTCTGTACATGACATTAATTGTTTTGCCAGTTGACATTTAACTATGGTTATAATCACAAACATTTTATTGCATTTCATACTATTATTCCCTCAGAGGATATACTTTCTTAAAAAAGCCATATATATACGATTGTACAACCGGTTAGCTGTCTTTCATCATAGGTGTCTGAGTTCTCTCTCCCGTGTTAGGTAGTATAATAGGGTGAGTAGTATTCAGGTTAGGTAAAAAGTGGTAGATGAGGAGGAAAAGTAGATCTATGTAAGTGTGAAGTAGCATCAAGTGAGATGGCTAGAACATGTGCTGTGTAGGCCAAATCATAGCCTTCCCCGACGAGCCGTCTAACCTGACACAAGATCAGGTTGGAAAAGAGTAGAGAGAGTGATGTCGTGAAAACACGGCATTAATCCCAAAAGTCATCGACAGTTGGTTTTAGCCGCGTAGGGAGGTATATACTGCCTGGTTAGGATCCCCAAGATACTGAGAACCAATCGCTGGGGACTAGTGGTGATATCACTTGAAACATTTCAAAATGGCACAGATGCATTTCAATATTGAAATTAACTTTTGAAGATATCGTCTACAAAGACAGTGAAGGCTTCTCAAATGAATCATGCAGTTGAGAAAACATCACGACAACACTAATATCATCTGACCTAAACTGTAGATCTTCCTTTTTCCCTCTCCCTACTCGCCTCCATATGACACCAATCAATTTTCATTCTTTTTATCTTGAGCTGCAAGAATCTCCTCAACTACCTACATTATTGAGTCATTTATCATTATCCGGCATTGGTTAGGAAAGGGACAATGCACGACAATGACTAGCTCAATTCTTGAGCATTTTGGTGAACTCAAGCCACATAGCTCCACCAAAGTCGTCTTTCAACATCATCAACAACGTGAAGCCAAATGGTACAAAGGGCGTCAGTTTCCGGCTTCTGTGTATGGCGGAGGCGTTGGCAATTCGTCAATACAACCCCGAACTCTGTATACGGAAAAAGTATGTCCAGTCTCTTATTCTACCTTGGTCTCAACCTCTTCACTAGTCGCTCCCTGTAATAAAAACTTTGATTTTTTTCTTCTTTTTTAATTTTACTTTTGCTTCAATAATTAATTCACTGTTATCACTCTCATATGCTCCTTCTGAACGTTTCACGCCCTCTTCACACTTGTTGAATTGACACTCAACTACCAGCTTTCTTCTGACTACTCAATAGCAATTTTAACCTTATGAAATTTCTATCTTTGTGACGTTGAGTACCACATAATTTACAACTTTTCATTTTCACTTCTAAAGTCACTTCTGAGTAACTATATCAATTATGTCACCTCCAACCCTATTATTCAATAATAGACCACTCAACATCAACAACAAAATTCGGATTTTCAATGCAAACGTCAAGTCAGTTCTTCTATACGATAAGAAACTTGGTGGGTCACAAAGAATATTTCCAACAGCCTGTTGCAGACCTTTATCAACAACTGTCTTCGCTGGCTCTATACTGAAGATTAGATGGCCGGAAAGAATCACCAACAAGAAACTATGGGAACAAACAAAACAAGAACCAATCGCTCGACAAATATGCAGGAGAAAGTGGAGATGGATTGGACACTCGCTGAGGAGGCCACTGGGTGACATCGCGCGTCAGGCCAATGCTCGAGTGGAACCCGAAAGGGGAACGGCGAGTGGGACGTCGAAGGGTGACATGGAGGAGATCGTGTGAAGAAGAGTTGAATCAGTATGGATTAACATGGATGTAGGTGAAAAGTACATCAGAAGACAGAAGCAAGTGGAGACGTGCAGTTGAAGCCCTGTGTTCCACTAGGAACCCAAGGGAACAGTAATAATAATAATAATAATAATAATATATTTTTGTAAGTATAAATACGACTGTACAGTCTCTGAAGATGATTTTGTAGATAAAGAAAATTTTCTTCGCTGAATCCGTCTTTTATTTTCTTCATGACTCAATGGGTATTTTCGGTGATTCGAGTCATTTATTTATTTATACTTCAAACAACATACACTTCAGGAAGAGAAAACACCAAAAAACTTACAGTTGTAATTCTTGAGTTTTCTGCAATGTCATGGCAATAGTTCGAAAAAGCTGTAACGCTATATTGGGAGATATTTCTAATTCATGACACAGTTGAGTATCTCGTAAACTTCCGATTACTTCAGATACATGAAATAGCAGACGTTGTAAAAAGCTGGTAGTATGAAGACACAAGAAAAAAAAGATAAGTAGATGACAAATGAAATTACTGAATGGATAACAAAAAATACTTTTATGGCGTGGGCTACTAACAAGATATATATATATCAGTTACTTTGATTAGACACTAGCCAGTAACCAGTGTGATGTGTCGAGTCCTTTCTTCGGTGCAGATTGAATTCTATCAGTCCAATAGTTTGCAATGTGGCCAGCATTCTAGGCAGCTTGCCATCACGTCGCACATTGATATGATGATATTATATGATGGTTGGAGGTAATCGGCCACAGGAAGCCCGGTTTGACCTATGTTTCGTCCTGGCTGGCACTCATCAGTCAGCAAGGTGTATGTGCAGTCCTACAGGAAGTCAGTCGCGAGGCCGAATAGCTAAGTGGTGGTAATGTCTCTGACTCACTGCAGCACTGGGTGACCTGGGTTCCACTCTCAGAAAGGACATCAGTTCCTTTAAGACTGCAGATATGCCTTGCTGAATAGTGAGTGACAACTAGCACGAAACTTATGTCAAGCGGAGCTTCCTGCTGATTGCCTCCAACCATCTAATAAGATAGATCAGTGGCATATAGACGCAGATTGATGATGATGATGTTTATTCCTCAAATCTGGATTTGGCTCACGTGGTGGTCGGGAAATAACCTGATTGGACAACCTTTGACCTCGAGGTCTAACCTTCAGAAAATCAACAAACTACCAATCAGGACAGTTTTTTATCCACTGACATAACTGATCTTAATTAAATGTGACTAAAAATGTACTCTCAGCTAAGCAAAGTTTCGGAGTGCATCGGTCAGGAATCAAATCTCGGAGTGTGTGGATGGTTGGAGTGCATTCTACCCTTAAACTACTGATGCTCTGCAGCCACATATTGTTGTAGCAAACAAATGGTTTAGGAAATCCCTTTTGGACGGTCTACTTATAATATTCATAATTATTTAGACGTTTCAACTAACTTTATAATTATTATTTTTCTTTTCTTCTAGACTGTGTATCATCATTTTGACATTCGCACATCCTTTACCTCGCTTGGTAAACCAGTAATAAGACTAGTAAAGACGGAAGGTTGGTTGGGCAAGGGGCTAGCAACCCCATCTTGTAAAAATAAACACCACTGCTACTGAAACTTCAAAGCTCTAGCTTGAAGGTGCCCTATGTTCTACTGGGAACATGAAGGAATAAAAAAAATCACATGTTGATTATGACCTTCATTATTTGCCTCAACCCGACCGATAACTGCTACCTTGCCGTGGTGGTCGGGCTTGAATGCTCAGTGACTCAACAAGCTAAACTGGCTGGGACTCATGTCCCTGCAGATCCTACCATGTCAGGAAGGTTGTTTGGATAGCGGTTAGACTAAAAGCAGTTACCATGGGGTACATGGGCTCCAGAATTCAGTCGGATCAAATGGCGTATGAACCCATATTGGTCACCGGCAACCATGGGAACGCAGCTCCTGACGCTGCCTTGCGGATTAGACTCCAAGTCAAAGGCTCGGGGGGTGGTCCCTTAAGAAAACCACCTGCTTCGGTCTGGGCACCCGGGTAGTATCTCAGCCCTCACACAATATTGTGTGGCGCATCTTTCTTGGTGCCATATTGTACCAAGTTTTTATGCGTTTAAACAAATAAATAAATATTTGCCTCAAACCTAGTTTAATCTTTGGTTGTAATACTTGTCTTTTTGGTTATGTGTGCATTGACAATGTGTTGTATAACGATAAGAGTTTGTTTGACCGAATGAAGATGCTTCTGATCCGGGACTCTCCGAGGAGAGTTGGTGTGCGATTCTTGTGGAGAGACCCCACACCTCATCGGGAATATTCTCCTCCATTCTAAAGTACTTAAACAGTTGAACCTTGGTGAACTAATTTTGTCTTACAGCAGTTGTTTTGTGCTTAGAAACATACAGTGCCTGTGTAGCTAGCTAGCTGCCTCACGGTACTGCTGGGGTAATGTTGGGTTTGACTTTATTATCATTGTTGTTTAATAGAACCACTAAATTACTAAAGAACAATCGTCTTCACCCTGCCTGTAGAACGTTTCGCGTGATAGCGCGTGTCTCAACGATGTTTTCTCGGCTAAGCTGTAGAACTTAGAGATCGGTTTTTTGCGTTTACATCAAAAACGAATAAATCCGGTCATTACACTTGCCTCCTTTTTTCGCCGTTTCAGTTGCAATGACAACTTGTATAGCATTTAAACCATCCATGTTCTTAAGAAATAACCGCCGATAAGTTCATCAGTTTGTCTTGTCCTCACTTCAGTCATTCTTCTGCATGCCTTTAGATGAAGTGTCGATTTAGCCGACCGTATATTCTACTTTGAGTACATGACCATGACTGGTTGGTGGCATACACACACACACTTCATAGTCTATTTTTTTATTGATTGATCTTTATTGATTATAGCTTGATTCCACGCAGTATTTTGGTACAAGTATGAAATTTTCAGCATGTGATATCGGTAGCCCAAATTTAGCAGGTCGACCATAGATATATCAGGTGTGCGTCGGCGGGGGGTTGAACCTCGGACCATGTGCATTGTCGGAGAGAGTCCTAACCGCTGTGCCACCGACGTCTATGTATGTAATCAGTAATCCAACCAATAGAAAGGAAGCAAGTCGATCTCATCAGAAACCAAAATCACTTAAAAACCACAGAGCGTACTACTAGACAACTGTTTTGTGCCTAGTAAGGAATCCTTCAAAGGTAGTACCAGATAGTGAACGAATTAACACACAAGTTAGAATCACCAAGTAACTGAATTTGTCAAATGAATATCCTGGAGGAGGGGAAGTTCCGATCTCTTGTGAAGGGAGACTCATAGATGTGCACGGTGCTGAAGAATCCCAAACACAGACGAAACAGATGTCCAGTGGCTTTCAATCAATCTACAATGTGATATAGTAAGTTATCTTCGGAGAGAGAGAGGGGGGGAGGAGTAAAAATTAGGAGGAAATACTTACAATTGAATCTGTTGAAAGCATATTGTCTTAATCGATTCATATGCCTTCAATGTAGTTGTACCAGTACGCTTTAAACTGGCTGCAGTCCAATCTTCGACAAGGAACTTCTTTAAATCAGGACTAATAAAGTAGACAAAATAAAGTAGAAATAAGAGAAAATCGAGGAGTTATAAAAATATGGAAGTTTATGGTTAACAAATTTACATTCAAACCTTGCATTCCTAGTGAAACATGGGACTTTAGACTTGTAACCTTGAAATTTTAGTAGCGGTGGTATTGACTCTATTACACGATGGGGTTACATCCTTACACTTAATCCTCCTTCTTTCCCTAGCTCGCTCTCCTGTTGGATGATAGCCAGGAGTGCATCGGTCGACCAAGAATGGAAACCCGGCCTAAGTGTGTGTGCGTGTGTGAATGGTGAGCACAAAAGGTAATCCAACTGTGAGCAGGAATGGTTCATGATGTAACTTATATGAATCAATCAGTAATATAAAACACTAAGATTCAAAGGTACATCTGAGGAATGCTGTCTATTAACTAAATATCTGAAGAATATCTAAAAATGATTGAGGTATCCAAAGTACAGCAAAAATATTCATTCAGACATCTATAAAACACAAAATAATTGAGCAAAGAATATCCTTTTCGATAATTTCCTCTTCTGGCTCTACAATTCTAAAATTGTTTATATACATAGAATATTCTAGAATAGTAGTCGATAACAATATTAGTGTTTTTTAAATAATATCGATTTGTAAAGTAAGATCACGATGCAATTACAGTTCATTAAAGATGCTTAAAGGATAATAATAATAATAATAATATAATAGCAAATGGAATATCAACTAAAATTAAGGAAATTTCTACAAAAATTGAGGATCATTCCAACCTAGATGGCCAAGGTAAGGAAAGTGATTGAATTAGCTTATTTTGGACACATAAATTAGGTTTCTTAATGTGGATCGCAACAGCAGCCTCAGCAATATGTAGTAAACGAACTCTAAAGGTGAAGTTAAAATTTGTTGCTATGCAGTAAATGACTCTGAAAGCCGCCTCGTTGACATCAATCTTGTGTTCTGTTGCATCCACAAGATGAGATAGAATAGCGCTTCGAATGGATTTTGTTTCTCCTTTACTTAACCACTATACAAGATGATGTTCGGAAATCCGACGAGAAACACACCTAATTGTACGGCCTATGTAACTGGCTCACTTCACAGGAGCAGTTAAATTGGTAGATACACATGGAAGAGGCGAAATTAGGAAGTTTGTCTTTTACTCCCGAAAGCAAAATAGGAGTGGTTTTGACGATGCAGAGTAATTCGGCAGCAGGGAATACTCTTTTTACCGCATTCCTAAGGCGTTGTGTTAGTATCTCACTGATGTCATCTCCAAGGAACTGAATTTGTAAGAATAATGCCTCTATAGGAATCACTGAGATATCACTATCAGAAACAATAACGATACAGTTCAGCAACGACATGTGTTTACCAAGGAGACGGGGTCGCACTAATAAATCCACCTGAATTCTTAAGCTTTGGTAGAGATGGCGAAAATTCAAACTCATGACTCGTACTGACAGAAAGTTTTCTTTCTTTCATATGTCATGAATTACACTTTCATCGAAGTACCTCTTAGACTGACTCAGATATACCAAGTACCTAACCTTAACATCAGCTTATGTATTTCATCATGTTGCTGACATAATACAAATGAAATTGGCTCTTTTAGTGAAATCAAAAAAATAATCATAATATGTTGAACACATACCAACAATAGCCAAAGAGAATAAACTCCAGAAGTTCTACGCATAATGACCAATCCTGAAAAAAAGGCAAAACACAGAAAACACAAAAACATAGTATGAGTTTGACGATATTATACAATAAATGTATTCGTGTTTGCGATTCCTCATTGATACATATTCATGTGTGTGTGTGGGGGGGGGTGTGTGACAAAACTGACCGGTGTTATTTGGACTATTTCGACGGGTGCCTGAATATTAACAGGAATAATAACTAGAAACTACCTATCTACCAGTTCACTTGTTCGTGTGAAGCTGAGTACATTCACCATACCATACATCCGCTTGTAAAACGTGCTGGCGAACACTATCCAGTCTGCCTGGCTAGCAAAGGGAGGACGCAAGCGTGTGTATATAGTTCGGTAACAGAACATCTGGTGAACTCAGGACATTCAGCTCCATTTGAAAAGTCCTTCAAAGTCATATACAAGATCCGATCAAACCTCTCTTGCAAAGTAAGTGAAATCAAGGCATCTGCCAGGGCACAGTTGGAGCGCTAACGATCTAAAAGTTCAGGTCCACGTTATGTATTCAAAAGAAACATGTCCAACCGTTGTCTCTACCATGGCCATCATAAAAGGTCAGTGTTTTCAATAATGGTTATTCTATTACCTTTCTTATTCAATCTTCCCGTTTATTTCTGTTGTTTTTACTTTTTTTAAATTCCTATCTGCACTACTTACTATGTTTTTATCCTATCTTCCTGTTTAATCCACTTTGTAATTTGATTTATTTGACCTTTGACCGGAAATAGTTACGGAAATTTCTCACCCATTTACTATAAATACACAAATGTTCCTAGTTGATGACTTGGTCGAAAAGGAAATTGCCTCTTCGCTGCAACCGTCCTTTTAAAATTACTTGTTTGTTAGTGATGACTGACAGGTAGAATTCAGGATGCATGTTTCATCCCATTCAGGAATCGTCAGCTGAGTATATCTCCTCCTCACTGAATGTTCGGTGTTTTATTAGCAGGTCAAGGATCTATGCACACCTTGTTAATACTTTAACTTTGCATGCATTCAGAAAACAAAGAAATTGCTCTATATAGCATCACTTTAGGCAGTTCAGTAGTAAATGAATAAACATTCTCAAGAATCGGTTTTGTAGGGAATTTCGTTTGATTGGTTGGAGGATTACATCATGAGCTGACATCAGTCGAAGAACCATTGGGAAAGTTAGAATTTTATGGGCTGGTCATTGGATCGAGTCCAAGTGGCTGAATGGTTTACGACCTCCCTGGCCTTGTAACCAGAAGGTCCTGAGTTCGAACCCCGGTGGGTGGGTGCGTACTGCTGAAGAGTCCCAAACTAGGCTGGCGAAACAGCCGTCCAGTATTCTCTGGCAGGTTTTCCAATGGTACTCTAATCGGATGTCAGCTCATGATGAAATCCTACAACCAAACGATCGGTCGATTTTCGACATAGAACTTTGCACATAAGTGCGGCAGTTCAAGTCGCCACACTCCATGTAGCACACAAAGCAAGAGAAGAAAGTAGGAGAAATACATAATAGAGACAATAAACAGAGGTGTGAAACAAAGGGATAGTAATAACGAAGAACAAAACAGTTTCATTGGAAATCATAAGTCACAAGGAGTGAATGCATCTGCGCCACTGAGAACGATTTTGAGCAATGTCACCAATTGTTTCCAACCATTGGCTTTTACCGTCCCGAGGACCCCAACCAGGAAGTCTACCCCTTCCTACGTGGCTGGTTTAGACTATCTGTTGTAGATTTCATTGACTGGTGCCATGTTTTCGTTTGACCGCCACTAGCTCTTTTCCAGCCTGACCCTATATCAGCTAACATCGACCGTCGAGGAAGGCGATGACTAGGCATACGTAGCACATGTCCTAACCATTTCAGTCAATGTAATTTCACAGTCTCGTCGATTGATTTCCCCTCCATACCTAGCACTCGACGCCTAACCTCAGTATTGCTCACCTTATTATACCACCACCTAACACGGGAAAAAGAACGCAGGCACCTATGATCAAAGACAGCTTATCTTTTCATGTCTTCTGCTCTCAATGACCAGGTCTCACAGTCATAAAGGAGGACGGAGCGGACTGATGAGCAGTACACACGCCCTTTGGTCGATAGTCGGATATCACGTCTACGCCAGAGACGGCGTAAACTGGCATATGCGAACCTAGCCCTCTGTATTCGTGCTGAGAATCAACCAAGTAAATCCCTACAAAAACCAATACTTGAACCGAATATATATATATATAGCATTATAAATCACCACTTACTTTGTTATGCTTTAATCGTTCACGTGCATAATTAGTGAATTTAGTATTCATTTCCAAGATCATATCTTCCCAACAAATACAGACTTGATTAAAACTCCAATCTAACAGCTAACAGACAAGAAATAGAAAAAAAACAAGTAGGAATGTCTTACCAAGTGTATTAATTAGGGCCCTTAGCTTTTTTATTAACAAAATATATATTTAAAAGTTTAGCAGTTTATAAGAGATAAATTGATTTAAATTTGACTTGTATTATAGTTTGAAAGTATCCAGAAGGCAGAGGTTACGAATTTCTTGGAATAATTTAAGCGCCGAGTCAGACTGAATCATTGTAAGTTATTTTAAATATTCCCCACCAAAATAATCAAAACAAAATTTTTCCGGACATTTCACTGTGTAGGCCACCACAGCTTCTTCAGTAGCAGAATTATTCGTATTTTATCAACAATCAATAAATGTGTAGTCAAAAAATTACAGAAATTGAAGTGAGTTCCCTTGATGCTCACATATAGGCAGACATTTGTAGCAATAGAAAAATGTCACACACATCACTATACCTGATCTTATGTCTAGACTCTTTAATTCTACTTTATTCTTAGGCGGGAATTTCGTGCATAGCCTGTGTTCATTCATTCTGACTTTCACCTGTCTACTGCTCTCCCATACTCTACATAGCAAGCTTCACATTCTGAACACTTTATCCTATGCACAAAGTTGTTTTGTGCCATTTTAGGAAACATATCTTTGACATTCACCAAAATATTCTCTAAAGAAGTAGAGGGCTTAAAATAGACTTTAATACTGTAAGAAACAAGTACTCTTTGAAGTTGTTCACCCGTATCCTTTCAATATGGAATGGCTATCGTCAATACACCTAGATTTTTCAATTTTTGTTGTTGTCACTTCTGGTGCTTTTTATCAATAATATTATTCTGCTGACGAAGCTATGGCTGCTTACACAGCGAAACGTTTAGAAAATCTTGTTTTGACTTTCTTCACAAACATGCTGGGATTATTTTAAACTGCTCTGTCTTCCAGACTTCTTACATACAAGTTAAGTGAGGAGGCTTAAGAGTGTATCCGTCTGCCGGAAATCGGATCTGACCGGCTAATGTTTGGTGAGTATTCTACCGTCGAACCACTGACGCACGCTTTGATTGCTTCTCTTCAACAGCTTTCAGATGTTGATTGAGGATCATTCGAACCTAGATGGCCAAGGTAAAGACAATGTCTGAACCAACTACTTCTTCTACACACATAAATTAGGCTTCTTGATGTGGATCCCAACAACCAGCCTGAGCGATGTGTAGTAAACGAACTCTGAAGTTAAGATTTGTTAGTATGCGATAAATGGCTTTGAAAGCTGCCTCGTTGACATCAATCTTGTGCTCTGTATCCACAAGAAGAGATAGAAAAGCCCTATGAATGGATTTTGTTTGACCTTTACTTAACCACTCAGGGTGATATACGAAACTCCGACGAGAAACACGCCAAATTGTACGGCTTATGTAACTGGCTCCACAGGAGCCAGAGGAGGAAATCATCGAAAAGGATATTCTTTGCTCAATTATTTTGTTTTTTTATAAAATATTTCACACAGTTTGCTTTGTATGCACGTACAAGCAGTAAAGGAAATACAATTCCTTCTATTTACTACTTAAACTCAAGATAACTTGTACGACAATTTACACCCTGCAATAGAGAAAACAGCCTTTAAGCAATTTGAAAGCATCATCACACAATAAACCCTTAAGATCCAGAAGCACTACGACGCATAACAACCCTCCTTCTTTTGTATTCAACTGTATTCTGTCAAGATATGAAACAAAAATTCCACAAACATGTTAGCACAACATTCAGAGATATGCATATATGATGGATACTCATCACAACAGATTTTTTTATATACCAGACAAAGAGCCACATTTATCTCATCAGGGCTAATGATACCATTTAGTTGCCTAGGCTCCATCTCCGCCTTGTCCTGTTCTGTTTTCTGCAGTCGCCTTCAGATGGCCCAATACGATTGCCCATAATCTATCATCCCCTCCTCACATGATCTCCTTCATGTCATCCACAGACACACCCCACTCGTAATTTCCTATTGAGGTTCCACGCTAGCAATAACCTGCATTGAGCACAATATCAATCTTGGTTGGTTTGTTCCCATAGTTTCTTGTTGCTAATTCTTCGTGACTAGCCATTTGACCTTCAATATGGAGCCGTTGAAGGCAGCTATCAATAAAAATCTACAGTAGCCTGATGGAAATACTTTTCGTAACGCATGAGCCGAGTTTCTGACCCTTATAGAAGAACTAACCGAATGACTGACTTAGCATTGATGTTGAAAATCCGAATTTTGTTATCCGTTCTGAGTGGAGATTTCCAAACTGATTTCAGAATGATGAAGGTCTGTCCAACCTTTCTGATTCCGGCTTTAACATCTTTACCCGTGTCTACTGCCTCTAGTAGGAAACGATGCTGCTTAGGCTAGATAAGTGAAGGGAGTGACCTCTTTCAAATTTCTCCCATTGTTAGTGATTGGTTCTGGTTTCCGTTGTTGTTACTGTTGGTCAGTGAATAATCTTCATTACCTCTACCTTGTCTATATTCACTTGAATTTCTACCTTCGCTGCTTCTTTTGCCAGTCAGTTGAATTTCGCCTGTTAGTCTTCGAGTCTGTGTAACATTAGACATAAAAAATCATCTGCGAAATCCAGATCTTCTAGACTTTTCTTACCGGTGGTCCAGCGTATTCTTATCTTCTCGCTACCCACACATGGTGTTCTGCTTAACCCAGTCGACTACAATTAAGAGTATCATCGGTGATAATAGACAGTCTTTTCTTACTCTTGTATTCGTTTCAAACACCTCGCTCAGTGGTATGGAGGGGGTCTACAACCTACTGGTTGAAAGTGGTGTGCTTAAGCTAATAAGCCACAATCTTCTCAGATGTATAAACACATCAGCTAGCCAAGCCATTTCGAAGTGAGTAGTTATTATTATTATTGTTTCCTTTAATTCCTAGAGGAACATAGGGCTTCAGCCGTGTGTCTCCATTGCGTTCGGTTCTCTTCTAGAGTCTTCACCTGGCTCCAGGTCTGCCCACACGTTTTCATCTCCTCTTCACATGACCTCCTCCAAGTCACCCTTGCACTGACGACCAACTCGCCGATTCGCTTTCGGGTTCCACTCGAGCAATGGCTTGTCTAGTGATGTCACTTGATGCATTGTTTCCTCAGAGTATGGCCAATCCATCTCCATTTCTTCCTGCCTATTTGTTTCACAATCGGTTCCTGGTTGGTTGGTTCGCTCCCAGAGATCTCTGTTGCTGATCTTTTCTGGCCGGCCATCTGATCTTGAGTATTGAGCGAAGACAACTGTTAATGAAGGTCTGTAGTTTGTTTGAGATGCTCTTTATGACGCGCTGGCCAAGACTCTGATCCATACAGCAAGTAGCACTGACTTCACATTGGAGTTGAAAATCCGGATCTTATTTTTCACGCTGAGTGCTGTTGATCTCCACACAGACTTGAGAGTAGTGAGAGACTGTCTTGCTTTTCCGAACCTCGCTTTGATATCCTCGTCAGTTCCGCCTGTAGTTGAAACGATGCTTCCCAGGTAGGTGAAAGAGGTTGTTTCTTTCAGGTTCCTCCTATTTATTCTGATTGTTGTCTGTTATTGTTGTGAGTAATATTGTGCTCAAAATCCATGAAAATACAGATATAACTGACGCGAAGTAAAACCATTTTTCGTAAAAAATTAATAGTAATAATATTGATACAACTTACAGATTTTGTAATTTTAATTGAAAAAGCCTGTATTGACAGCTTCATCAACTGATGATTGAATCGTTGAAATCCATCGCATGGAATCTACACAGTAAAATGCGATAGAAAAGTCAAGATTACACATATATTAAAAATACTTTAAGAACAAGAGATTTTAGAGTCATACAGATTGATAGGCATCCTGGAGGGAATAAAGGATGCACTGGATGCAAACCTCTGCGAACCTGTAACGAGATCGTTTCAGGAAAGGTGCCTTATGTACGGATCGAATTGCCACTGTGAGCATTATCATCACAGAACAAAGCATAGAATGGTAGTCAAACCTCTTTCAACCTCAACTTCATCGACTTTGAAAAGGACTTCGACAGCCAGTGTTGATCGAGACGTAATTTGCAAACTACTTCAGCATTACGGCACACAGTGCCCAAATCTTTATGAAGCTTATTTAACTATTGGCTATATGGCAACACCAGGTGCTAGGTGATCCACAACGGAAAACTCAGCGAAGCGTTCAAAATGAATACAGAAGTAAGACAAGACTGCCTATTATCACCGATGATATTCTTAATTGTGGTAGACTGTGAACTGGAAGCAAGAAGACAAGAATCCTCTGGACCATCGATAAGAAGACTCTTGAAGATCTGGATTTCGCAGATGGTTTATGTTTAATGTCACACAAACTAGAAGACTTACAAGTGAAAACCAACAAACTACCTGAAGAAGCAGCGAAGACAGGACTTGAATTCAGGTGAACATAGAAAAAACAGAGGTGATGAAGATAATCAACCAGCTATCCAGCATCAACAACCAGCAGCAATCACCATCGGCGGGAGAGACTTAACAGAGGTTACATCCTTCACTTATCTAGGAAGTATCGTTTCAACCACAGCTGACAGAACGGATGAAGATGTCAAAGCCAGCCAGCCAGAATCGGAAAGGCAAGATACGGTTTCATCAACCTGAAACCAATTTGGAAATCTTCTGCGCTCAGTTGGCATAAACAACAAGATTTGGATTTTCAACACAAATGTCAAGTTGGTACTTCTATACGGGTCAGAAACTTGGTGATGTCATCACGAAAAGCATTTCCGACAGGCTGCAGACTTTTATCAATAGCCGACCACTTCGCTTCATACTGAGGATCAAACGGCCGGCGAGGAAGAATAAGTAACAAGAAACTCTGGCAGGCGACAAACCAACCAAGAGCCGATCGCTCAACAAATATATAGGAGAAAATGGAGATGGACTGGGCATACATGGAGGAGGTAGTAGAATGACATCGCGCCAGGCTCTCGAGTGGAATCCGAATGGGAAGTAACAAGTTGGGTCATCTTAGAGTGACATGGAGGAGATCGTGTCAGGAGATGAGAGATTATAGTCGACCGTGGACACAGCTTAAGAGGACGGCAAAAAACAGATCAAAGTGATGTGTTATTGAAACCCTATGTTCCATTCGGAACCCAAGGGAATAATAAAAATGATTCGGGTTGATAGAAATGGTTATCTGTAACCCTATATAGGATTTTTAACAAACCAGGAATTAGGGTGCCATTGAAACCCATGAACTCACTCAGGTAGGACTAGCTCCATAGGTTTAAGGACCCTGTTGACCCAATTAGACAAAATAATATAATTTACAAAATACCTTGCAATGAATGTGAGTTAAGTCAACTACATAGGTCAAACCAGAAGATAGGAGGTAGTAAGATTGTCAGAACATAAGAATTTAACTAAGGTGAAGATAATTGACTCCGCGAAGATAAGTAATTAAGAAAAAAGCTCAGCACTACACTGCACTGCATGCATTAACACACAATCGCACAATAGGATGGGACAGAGTTAGATTCTTAAAAGTAATATAGGTAGGTGGAGAGAGACAGCGGTTGATTAGTGAATTTTCGTTCATCGAATCTACACCCAAAACATACAGCAGGAATGACTCATCACTAATACCAGAGATATAGAAAATATTACTACCAATCAAATTAGGAGATAAAAAATAATGGAATTATGTAAACGAAATCAGAAAGTTGTGTAAGTACCTTAATTTGACTATGAGCAGCAATAAAATTGCGCTCGAAAGGTGGTCATTAGTAAATATTACTGTATAACAAACACTATGAGACTTTATAAAATTAAATTCCGTTCGCAATGGAATTATAATTTACTACAGTGCCCAAGGTCTATTCTTATAAGCAGATTGATAGGAAGCGGCTATAATTGAAATCAACATTTTAAGTTAATAGCTGCATAGGTAGAAGTGTCTATTCCTCAAATCCAGATTTAGTTTACGTTGTGGACATGAAACAATCTCATTGGACAACTTGTTTAGCCAACCACTCAGAACAATTTATTCTCCTCTAACATACCCGAACTTTAGTATGGCTAAAAATATGTAGGTATGATGTGTCTTCCATTAATAAAGGTGCGTTACAAGCCTCTTATTATGTCCCGTTACAGATGATACTGACAGATAGGTGTATGCATTGAGAGGGCGGATTTTTACGTGGAACTGTCACTACCTTATTATTATTATTCCCTTGGGTTCCGAATGGAACATAGGGCTTCCACAACACATCGTCACTTTGTTATATTTTCTGCTACCCTGTTCATATGGGTCCACGATCGCCCATTTTCTTTCATCTCCTCTTCCATGTCATCCTCAGACGCCCCACTTGTCGCTTCCGACTGAGGTTCTACTCGACGCCCTGGCTTATCGTTTCTTAATTTCTTATGGAACATTATTTTTTTCTTTGCTCCGCGTTCCAAGTAGAACACAGGACTCCAAGCTTCGAGCTTTGAGGTTGTTACAGTGTGGTGAGAGCTGTCTGCAAGACAAAATTGGCAGACAGCAATTTACGTCAATGTTAACGTCCCAAATCGGGGTCATGAAAAAAAACAAGAACAAAGAATAACTCAACAACCAATCACAGCAGGCTTAACGTGGGCAAATACGATTAGCAGATGTATGGTCTGACCTTCAAAGAAACAGCCACTAAGAGATGAGAAAATAACTTTCAGCTAGAAAACAACCAATCAGAAGACGTTGCTTCTCTGCTGACAATAACGAATAATAATGTACATAAAAATCTATAAATTTCTCTTGACTTTCCCCATAAATGATCTGTTGCCTGGTCCTTGTCTTCTGTCGTTACAAAAGTAGTACTTAAATTCTTTTACGGGATGGGTTTGCTAGGAATTTAGGATTGCGCAAGGCAGGAAACGAGCCCCAAACCACATGCATGGCTGGTGGGTATTTTAACCCTGATGTAGATCGAACAAATTATCCATCTCAAATTCATGCAGTAACGACACCAAAGTACTACAATGTTACTTCATCGGTGGTCAATGTTAGCAGAGACCAGAATGTATTTGCGACTTGTCACTGAGTGATGGCATTTCCATTGAGAATCGAAGTGAAAACCTATGATTTCAAATGTCCAGGAGTTAACCACCACTAGGCCAACAAAAGTTGATGGACACGAAATACAAATTCACCACCTCCAGATAACAATTGTTGCCCCCCCCCCTTCCGCAAGAGGTGACTTTCGCAACCCAGTCGATAACATTTTGGCATTTGGAACCGTGGGTCTTGGACGCCAGTCCACATGAAAATATCATCACTCACTGTGGGTGTGTATATACTTACTAAATTTGGAGCATCTGTACTAGAAGTCGACATGTCAACAGGAGCTGACGATTTCCAGTCCAACAGGAAATAATCAACGGTGAATGCAAGTTAGCTCCCGCAGATAAAATAAAATTGAAATACAAAAACCGATCTGATGAAAAACGATGATAATAATCATACTACTATAAGTAGTATAATAATAAACACTAAAAAAATTAACGTTCAACTTACTTTATGACAAAGTACGCAATATTGTCCATTAGCATCCAGCAATGCTTCAGTAAGCAAAAGTATATTCTGTTCAGCTGATAAATGACAACTAATAAGCTGAAAGAGACGGGTGAACAGTTAGTCACACACACATACCTTGGAAGACGTATCAGCATTTGTCGAGTGTAAAGTATACGCGGCAATTTCAAATACACCATAGCCGTAGAATGAAACGACACGATTTGAATAAACTGTCAATATTGGGAAACTAAATAAGCGCGCACACACAGAGAGAGGGGGAGAAGAAGAGGGTAGAGAAAGGGGGAGGGAGGGAGGGAGAGAAAGAGAGAGAGGTAAGATTTCACAATAACAATTTAAAGCTACTTGTTATTTGGTAATTCTCCAAGCAATTGTTCATATTTGTAGACATCGGATGATGAGAAATTGACATCTCTAAACACGGGATTAAGAAGAATGAATCCATCTGTTAAAAATAAAGTCGACTAACTCACACGATTTAAACATGCTCAAGTGTTTCACTTCAGGAAAATAAGCGGCCACCTTATTCTTTAGACATCCATTTTCATCGCCTGCAGCATTATTGCCTGAACACTGATAATTTGTCCATGACAAATGGTCTATTGGATTGGTGAAGTGTAATTCATGAAATAGGAATCCGTCTCCAACAACAAAGAAGCATACAGTACCCGATTGGAATGCTGCAGTCAATATTTTCCCATCTGGTCGCCAGGCTAAACAGCTGACAGAGCCTAAATCTGATTTATCACATTCCCAAATACACGTCATTTTATACCTTGGGTTAAAAAAAATAAACATATAAAAGTAATCAATAAATTAGACGGAGAAGTAAAAACAAAGTGAGCAGAAGATAGTTTTGACGATATTAGATGGTTGGAAGTAATTGGCCACAGAAAGCTTTGCTTGACCTAGGTTTCATGTTACTTGACACTCGTCAGCAAGGCGTATCTGCAACTGACTTGAAGAGGAACTCATGTCCCTTCTGAGATTCGAACCCGTATCACCTAGTGCTGCACAGTCAGAGACGTTACCACTGAGCTATTCGGGCTTGATGCATCGACGGCACAGCGGTAGAATGCTCGCCGACCATGGTTGTGGTCCGGGGTTCAATTCTCGGTCAACAGACGCACTCCTTTACCTCTGTAAGCCAGTAATAAGACTGGTGAAGAGGGTAGGTGAGTTGGGCATGAGGCTAGCAACCCCATCCTATAAAAAATAATTACCACTGCTACAGAAACTTCAAGGCTCTAGTTTGAAGCCCTATGTTCCACTGGGAATGTAAAGGAATAAAAAAAAGAGACGTAACCAATAAATGAAAATAACGGAACATAGCGAGAATGATACTTTAGCTTACATTACTGTTGCATAATGTATGAATTAAACCCCATTACAAAGTAAGCCTAGAAAATTAATCCCGATGTTCACTAGTGACTGCCTATAGGACGCAGGTGCTTAGAGTTCTAATGAGAAGTCCTGACCAGTGGATCTCACCAGGTGGATTTTGACAAAAGATACTCACCGGTGGCATCGACTGGCGGTTAACAGAGGTTAGAATTTTTGGGCCATTGGATTCAAGCCTAAATAGCTGAATGGTCAACGGCTTTGGCTTTGACAGAGAACCACTGGGAACCAGTAACTGACTGACTGACTAGTTTCAGTAGAGAGCTTTGCACAGAAGTGCAGCAGTTGCAGTTGCTACATTTCCGCTATGTAACACATAAAGCAAGAGAAGAGAGTGAAGAGCGGTTAAAAAGATAAAAATATAATAAACAAAAGTGTGAGTGAGAAAAATAGGAAGGGTAACATGGAAGAACAATAGAGGTGTATTGGATAAGACAAATCACGAAGAGTGAATGGACGCGCATCTGCGCTATCCACTGACAACGACTTTCAGCGCTATATCACCAATTCTCCTCAACCTTCATTGATTGGTTCTTAGCATCTTGAAGACACCAACCAGTCAACCAGTTTACACCTCTCTACGTCACTGGTTGGCTCAAACCAAGTCTTATGGATTTCACTGAGTGTGATGAAGCCATTTTTCCGCTTGACCACGACGTGCTAGCTCTTCTCCAACCTAACCAATCTTATGTCAGCCAACATTGACCGCCGAGGAAGGTAATGGCTATGCATGCATGCGTAACACATGTCCTAACCATCTCAATCGATGTGATACCTTCACAGCCTCGTCGACTGATTTTCCCTCCTTACCTACCACTCGACCGATGCCTAACCTCAATATTGCTCACCCTATAATACCATCTAACACGGGAGATAGAACGCAGGCACCTATGATCAATGACAGCTAGCTAGGCTTTTCATGTCCTCCACTCTCAATGGCCATGTCTCGCAGCCATAAAGGAGGATGGAGCGAACTGATGAGCAGTACATACGCCCTTTGGTCGACAGCCAGCCGGATATCACGTCTGTTAAGCCGGAGACGGCGTAAACTGGCATATGTGAAACAAGCCCTCTCTATCTGTGCTGAGATTTCGTCAGCTATCAACCTGTTGGCGTTGGCTGATGTAACTTCCCAAATAAGTGAAGTGGTCAACAGGCTCCACCAACCACTTTACTCCCTGTTTCTAAGCTAGGAGTCAATGTAGTCCAGTTCAGTCCAATAGCATCATCTTACGTTTGGTGGGAGCGAATCACATGCCAAACATTCGAAGATTGCAACTAAAGGTGTTCAGAAGACTGAATTTTGTCAGCGTCTTCACCATCTACAATGACTATATCATCTGCATATTCCAAGTCAACGAGATTATTACGTGGTGGGTAACAAGTCAATCGCTGAGTCGCTGAAGTAACTTGGGGTTAATTCCATTAGTACATCTATGATGAAATTGAATATTTTTGATAGTTACTTCTATCAAAAATATTCGTTAATTTTATAAAATGAAAAGCCAACGGGAAACTGTTACTTACCTATGCACTGAAATGCATCCATTGGATGAGCCTAAAGCAATTAAATCAGTCCTCGGTGACCATACACAAGCGACAACTTTAGTTTTTGCCAGTTGACGAGTTTCAACAAGAGAATAGGTGAAATCAACGCCCATATTGCTATAAAAAGAAATAAGCAAATATAATTAGATGACTTGAAAAAAATAAGGAATAACAAATTATTTTTTATTTTATGAAGGCTCTACAGCTACCGACACATGAATACTGTAAAACTGACTAACTGACCGCATTACAACATAGAACTATGCAAAGGAGTGCAACAGTTTAAGTTACCACATCCCATGTACTACACAAAAGTAGATAAACGTGACTCGAAACAGCCATAATAAGCAGAAATAGCGAGATGCAGAAGCATGAGTCTTCATTGGATCTGAGAAATGACAAAGAGTGAATGCATCAGCATCATTGAGTACGATTTTGAGCCATGTCACTCCACTTGTCTCCGGACATTGGTCCTTCACATCCTGAGATCTTTAGCCAGGTAGTATATTCCCACCTCTAAGTGACTCAAACCAAGTGTCCAATATAATAATAATAATCTACTTTATTCCAAAAACAGTACTTATAATACAGAGTGGAATTCTCAGCATTTGTCACATTACCTCACATCTGATTTACTCAAAACATAAATAAAATTAAGATAAAATTAACCACAGGAATTTGTCCACATTTACGGTATAAAGTCAAAGTATTCGAAGCACGAATTGAAAATATTACACGTAATAATAATAACAGTGAGTTTGTTCCAAACAGTATTGTCGATTGAGTTTGGAAATTTAAGCATGTTATAGATTATTGAGTCTAATGTTCTGTTGATATAGTATGGTGAGAAGAAAGACAAAATTAAAAGTTATAACACAGCTTAAATGACTTTCACACTTATGAAAAAATTAAACAAATAAAAACAAAAAAATGGATGGGATTTTAAATGTAAAAAGAACAATAACAAAAAGGTTGATGTTGTAAGGGTGGAGGAAATGGTTTATTTAGTAGTGCAAAGAAGGTCAGTTATTTCACGCCTAACACTATTTTCATCACATAAAACCAACCCGTGCCATATATGGTATAGTGGAATTTTCATACCTAGATGTACACGCATAAAGGAGGGGTTGAGTTATGCCTGAGTGCCTCAACTTCCTAATGTAAAAAGTCAGACGAAATATTCTTTTAGAAATCGCTAAGACAAGGGAAGACCAGGATCGGTCAGAAGAAAGAATTAAGCCAAGATACTTAATTTCAGACTTGTTTTCTATATATCAGTATCATCAATTTTGTAACGGTCATAGGAACCAACAGCTTCATTTAACTTTCTATTACATCGGAAACTGAAATTAACAATCTGAAATTTGGAAGGATTTAGTTTAAGTCCATTTCATGGCTTGATGCCAGGTTTTTTTGGTTCGACCACTACTAACTTTCTTCCAACCTTCTTAATCCAATATCGGTTAACACATTACCCACGGAGGAAAGCAATGCCTCGGCATACGTCCAAATAATCTCAATAGATTCCCCTTCACAACATCATCGATCGACTTAACCTCTTCATCTAACACTATACACCTACCTAACGTCCATTTAATTCACCATATTATACCACTTAACATGGTGGAGGAAAAGCGCAAACATCTGTGATCAGAACCAACTAACCTCTTTATACTTTCCACTTCCAATAGCCATTTCTTACATTCATTAAAGGAAGAGTGAGTGAGCTGGAGTGCAGTATACACGTCTTCTGATCGATGGCCGGATATAACATCTACGCCAAAAGTAACGTGAGCTGGTGTAACATGAGCCACATGGGCTTTTTGTATCCATGCTGCGATTTCACCTGCAACTGCTCAAATAAGCGAAGTTGTAAAATTTGGGGGGCTCTGACACTTCGCTGCCTATACTTAAGCTACGCTAGGAGTCGGTGCAGTCCAGCCCTACGGTATCATCTTACATTTGACAGGAGTGAATCGTGCACCAAACATCCAAAGATTTCTACTCAAGTTGTTTAAAATAGTGTCTATTCTTTCAGTGCCTTAACCTAGGAGAACGACGTCATCTGCATACTCTATTACCATGGTAACAGGTCAATCTCTAGACTATTAAAGTCATTTAGGATTATTAGTGCATCAATGATGCAATCAAACAAAAGTGGTGAAAGTGTGCATCTCCAACGGATATCACTGACTGCTGTCATTTCAGATGACAACCCTCCACAAGCTCTTGTACGGCTGCGTGAGTTCGAATAGAGCGTCTTTAGTCTAGTTAGAAATCAACCACTCAGATGGAACATATTTTTCAAACACCAGATTATATATTTTAATTGGTGGATGGTGACTAGCAGTGGAATCTACCAGGACGCGGATTTCGTCCTATTTGGGACTCGTCGTCCGGATTACCTGCAATCCCCAATGAGTGATGATGTTACCACCGAGGCTCGAACCTAGTGCCCATAGTTTCAGACGCCAAAGCGTTATCCACTTGGGCCACGAGAGCCATCTCTTGTGCAACGGGTCATATTAATTATTTAATTGGGAACATCATCACTGACACACTGGGGAATGCAGGCACATCCAGCTGGCAGACGAGTCCTAAATAGGACGAAATGCACGTTGTCCTGAATTCTACTGCTAGCCAGTCAACATCCACCAATTAAAATTCTAATTGCATGTCCAGACATCGTCGAAGCATCTGCACAAGAAGCCGACAGATATGTCAACCTGAGACCAAGCATTCTGGTCCAATCAATCGACGGGAAAATCTAAAATTCAATTGTACCAGATTATATAGTACATGTGATATGTGAGGGTTGATGATACTATTCAGTAGCCTAGAGTAAAATAAATGAGGCATGGGTTCGATCCCCGAAATTAAATGACTGAAATTCAAGTATTAATCCATTGGGTCACATCTCCTCTTGTAGATGAAAAATCAAAACTAAAACAGCAACAACAATCCAATTCACTGCCGTCATTCAGTGGGGAGCGTATTCTGCACAAAAATAAACAAGTGAATGTGAACGTTTAGCACTTACCAACGGAACGGACTGATGAACATGGTGATCTGATCTACTTAGAGGAGCTAGAAAACCCTGATCCCAAACCTATGGTATACATGAACTCCAGAATCTGCGTGAATCGACTGACATATGAATCCTATATTGGTCACCGTACACCACGCAAACGTAGCTCTTGACACATGCGATTCGCCCCCGCCAAATGTAAGATGATGTTACAGGGTTGGACTACATTGACTCCTAGCTTAGAAATAGGGTGTGAAGTGGTTGGTGGAGCGTGTTGACCACTTCACTTATTTGGGAAGTTGCATCAGCCAACGCCAACGGGTTGATCGCTGACGAAATCTCAGAACCGATACAGAAGGCTAGTTTCACATATACCAGTTTGCGCCGTCTCTGGCGTAGATATGATATTCGACCATCGACCAAAGGGCGTGTGTACAGTTCAGCAGTCCGCTTCGTCCTTCTTTATGGCTGTGATTAAGAGATGGTAATGGAGAGTAGAAGACGTGAAAAGCCTGGCTATCTGTCTTTGATTATAGGTTCGTGCATTCTATCTCCAGTGTGAAGTGGTATAATAAGGTCAGCAATACTGAGGTTAAGCATCGGTCGAGTGCTAGGTAAGGAGGGGAAATCAATCGACGAGGCTATGAAACTACATCGACTGAGATGGACATGTGTTACGCATGCATGCATAGCCATCGCCTTCCTCGACCGACGGGCAATGTTAGCTGACATAAGACTGATCAGGTTGGAAAACAGCCAGTAGTGGTCAGACCAAAACATGGCTTCATCAGTCAATTAAATCCACAAGTTAGTTCAAGCCACGTAGGGAGATGCAGACTTCCTGACTGGTTGGGGTCCTCAGGACGGTCAAAACCTATGAATGCTGGAGACAACTGGTGATATGACTCAAAATCATTGGCATTGGCGCAGATGCATCCACTTCTTGTGACTTATAATGCCCAATAAAACTATGTTGTTCCTCCATATTACTTTTCTTTTTGCCCCATATCTCTGTTTACTGTCTCTATTTTGCATTTCCTTTTACTTTCTTCTCTTGCTTTGTGTGCTACATGGAGGGAGTGTGGCGACTTGAACTGCCGCAAATCGGTGCAAAGTTCTGTGTCGAAAACAGACAGACAGAGACTTGACGCCGCTCGACTGCCTTGCGGGTCCAACTTGAAGCCAGAGGCATCGGAGATTGCCCCCTTAAAACCTGCTTTGGCCTGAGTGATCAAACAGTATCCCAGCCGTCGCACATCTCTTGGCGGCCATAATATTGCCACCTTTGCGTCTAATATAAATAATGATAAAAGCAGTTCTCATTACAAATTGAAAAAAATAAAAATTAAAGCAAAAGAAGTAATACTCGGAATGTAAAGTATATTTTGAAGCCTTTTTTCTGTGTACATATTTATATATATGAATGCATATTCGTTGAATGAGTTGATATGATTTCTAACTAAAACGTTTCATAAATCTAACACACGTCTAAATTTAAAAATGCCACTATTTAAATACAATTACAGGTTGATTACATTGTTCAGCAATCCGTTGAACAAGATCACTAATAGTAGAATATTTATCCATAATAGGTTTTAAAGCACTGAAGTATTCTGAAAATTCATAGAAAACAGTCCAGTAACCATAGAGGAGAGCATCAACCTTGCCAGGTGAATTCTTTTCAAATAAGAATGGACCGTTACCGAGTAGTTCGACTACACCGACACAAAGTGCTTCCATATCTTTTAAAATATCGCCTATACTTCGCTTGTCCCAATTGATAGATTTCAGAAAATCCGTGTGCTGTTTTCGTTTACGTCTAGCAATAAATCGAGTAATAATGATACACCGTGTACTTGCTTCTAAACGTTTATAAGTGAAATTGTTATAGGTTGTTTCATGCAACCATGTGAAATAAAGCATAATATTACGTAGTAAATCAGATATCCAAAATATATAAGTATGTTTTAAATTTCTTGATGATAACTTAATCATATCAAAATCCACACTTTTATTAGCTTTTAAAGTATTCAATCGTAAGCATAATGAGGTGTAACCAGTTTCAATAAAACCATTGACTATTGT